TGATTTGAAATAGCAATCAAAATGCTGATTTGAGATTATTATGGTTTTATTGTTTTATAATAATATTTTAATATAAACTAATTGTTGATATTATAGTACATTGCATTGTATTTATGGCAAAAATTCTTGACACTATTTCTTCAAACAATGGGCATTTGGCTTGTTAAAGACTTTAAAGTTACATCAGGGTATCCTTCTATCGGATGTTGTCCTCAATGCATTCTCTGTGTATGTGTATTAAAATACATTACTAGATATTAGCAACATATGATAATGGAATCATTTGAAACCTTTCAATTATAATCAGAAAAGAGAGGGGGTCAAAAGTTTTTATGTAGTTGAAAGAGGGGGGGGGTTAAATTTTTTAACACATTTTGAAAAGGGGGGGGGGGGGGGTCAATCATATCTTATCATTTCAAATTTACATTTTGCCGCCCCCCCCCCTTCCCCCGGAGATAAATAATGACCGGTCCCTAAGCCCAAAATGAAACAGTCATACAAGCACAAAGGTCATCCAATCAATCTTTTAACTAGTAAATTGTTTTTCTTTGTTGCTAATTAGTAATGATAAAAGGGCTGTTGATCTTTTCTTTGATGCTTTGTTAGAAAAAATATATTTGAAATAAAAGATTTGCGGAAATAACAGTAAAAACAATGGATAATGGCTTATACTCAAAGCCGAGAATATTGTAGTCCGTTTCTTTATTTTTATTCTTCCACATTTACTGTGTCAATATTTGCACGAAAAGACACAAATTTGAATTCAGACTTATTTCAAATATAAAGGTGTAAAATGTGGCGTCCTTGGGGTTCAACGCAACCCAATATCAACAATTATGACAGACCGCTTGAAATTCTGCAAGACGTAATTATTATTCATATAAAATAGGGAGTTATGGTATGATTGCGAATGAGAAAACTATCCACCAGAGTTGAAATGACGAAGATAATTTAAAAAGCAATTACAGGTCGCAGTACCAATAGAAAAAATAGTTTGTACAACAGCTGGATTGCTGAAATGCATGATCTTAGATTTATTTTATATTAACTGTCAGCTCATTATTGAGACACCATGTACTAAGCACATTCGATCAACAATACTGGTAAATCTTCTTCGATCTCAGCCATTAAAATAACATCATCTTCAGCATATAACAATTAATAGCTAATTTTTCTTCATCTATGGTAGTACCAATATTCAACACAATAATATCACCAACCATAATGCCTTCAACAATGAGAAAACCCCATATCGAATAATCGGCTATACGTGGCCCCGATTGATGATTACACGTTTTTTCTTAAAGACAAATTGATAAACACATACTTTTCCTTGAGTTAAATGACTTTTTAATCAAAAGAAGGTACAATAGCATTAAATCAATTTTGAGAAAAACAGTATATTTTTAGTGGCCCCGACAGATATTTGACACACTCTAAGTCTTCCCCCTTTTTACGAACACACTATTTAAGGACCCCTTATTTTATTTTAACTATCTATATGAAAGTTGCTGCCCTCATAAATATTAACTACCGGCTGTTATCGACGGATAACTTTACGCTAGTAAGTTTGTCTTATGGGTAATTGTTTTTGTCACTGTTGTTTCATTGCTGTCTTGTGGACGAATACCTGAAGACCCTGTGTCATCATCAATCATGTTAATGGCTATATTTCGGGTAATTCAAACACTCGTTTCTTTGCAGAGCATTTTATTTTAAAAAAGCACTTGTTGGCCAAGCCCCACTTTTTAATACACTTCACGATGGACAACTAGGGATGTATTGGACACCCTCAACACCACATAAAAATCAGCTTAAAATAATGATTCATTTACCCTTGCTTAATGAAGTGGAGTAATTTAGTGGTCTGTCCATGCATCAGTCCGCTGTCATGGGCAATTTCATTTGAATCAGCAAAGAAATTTAAAGAAAACCCAAACCTTAGAATTCACTTTATTTTCTAATGATCTTCATAAAAATATGTTAACCCCTTTATTGTTATGCCAACTTCGATAATGCTGAAAAAAGGTTTGGAAAGTCTCGATTCGCTTCTGTGCATTCCTGTCAAAATGTGTTATCAAATAATGTTATGAGCCTTCAATTTAGGTTACAGTATATAATATTGAGATTCATCATGCTTTTATGAAATAGATCTAGGAATTTTAAACTTTGTGTGTATAACACATCATTATGTTATCGCAGAATGTTATATGAATATAATGTAAGCTGTGGTATGATCCAGGACGATTGATGCTGTATAAAGCATAAAACTCGTAACGGTAAGATTGATTGATTGTTGGTTGCTTAACGTTTAATGGCAGATATTTCATGCATATTCAGAACGAGAACAAATTAACAAAAAATGCAATAGGTAGGTTCTGTAATAGAGGCGTCCGGGATTGAGGTCGGAGAGATTTAGACTACCTCGGGAAATGAGGGTATATTGGATAGGGACAGAAATTTAGCCTTGCAACAGGTCACCTACGGACCCCTCAAAGAGTTGTTGCAAGGGTTCTTAACGTGCAAAGAGCGTGGCACTCTCTTCACACGAGGCATATGATTTAACGTCCCCATTCTGATCGGACGTGGCTGCAAATTTGTACATCCCGCACAGCCAAACAGACGCCCCACTTTAGCAAGGGTTTTACTGCCGGTCGGAGGAAGACCAATGATGACCATACTTCTATTCCCCAGTCACCCTTGGGGGTAACGGTAAGACAATTCGTATCTTTTATCAAACAGTGAGTATGTCAGCTCTTAACGTTTAGTGAATATATATATGAAATTGCAAGTATTTGGCAACTCATAACGCTATTTGAATACACATATAAATTGCAAATGTATATCAACTCATAACGTTATATGAATACATGGCTTAATTGCAAATGTATGTCAACTTATAACATAATATGAATGCATATACAAATTACAAATGTATGTCAACTCATAACGTTATATAACGTTATATAAATACATTTCTCTAATTCTTCGTCAATTTATCCCTTTCTGCACCCATTGTATAAAAAAAATTTAATCAACGTGTGGTTCGTTTGATCTCAGTTCTTCATTGGTTAAAATCCGATTATGACGTCGAATTTTCTTGCTTTCCTCTGAATTTCCTATTGTGACGGCATGAAAAAAGGCGACCATACCTGATGACGTCACATAGAAGAACACATCTTTTTGCAGATCATTCAAAAAGAAGGAATAAGTTTGCCTGCATATTGTTTGAAAATCATTAGAGAAACAGATTCCACCACCAAATCTCGTATAATACGATATTTATCCACTATCGACAGTTAAATTTTAAATATTTAAAACGCTCGGCGAGCCTCGCGTTTTAAATTTGAAAATTTAACTGTCTCGAGTGGATAAATATCGTATCACACTCGATGCAGTGGTAGAATCTATATATCCAAATTGGAAATGTGTGTCAACTCGTAACGTTATGTAAATACATATATATTATAAATTCAAAACGTTATGTGAATACATATCTAAATTGGAAATGTTTGTCATCTCATAAAGTTATAACTTATACGAATACATATCTTAATTGTAAATGTATGTCAACTCAAAACGTTATGTGAATACATATATATTATAAATTCAAAACGTTATGTGAATACATATCTCAATTGGAAATGTTTGTCAACTCATAAAGTTATAACTTATACGAATACATATCTCATTTGGAAATGTATGTCAACTCATAACGTTATATGAATACATGTCTACTTATAATGTTATATGAATACATGTCTACTCCTAACGTTATGTGAATACATATCTAAATGAAAAATGTATGTCAACTCATAACGTTATATGAATATATGTCTCCTTATAATGTTATATGAATACATGTCTTCTCATAACGTTATATGAATATATGTCTGAATTGCAAGTGTATGCAAACTCATAACGTTATAGAAGTATCTGCTAGAAATCTAGAAACAATGCGAATCCATATCTACATTGTAATTTTCTATAACTCAAAACGCTATTTCAACAATTAATTCTGCCACTGCAAGTTGAAAGCATAATGCAAGTTGAAAATATAATGTGTTTTATAATGTTTACATTCTATTTGTTTTGTGTTTTGTTTCAATGATCAAGGATTTGTCTAGCAAGAATCTTACTATACAAATCCTTCCAATGATCAATCCTTATATATATATATATATCATAGGTTTGAACGTTGTTTTCAATTGGTATTAAATTAATAGTTAAGATCCATTTTGTTGCATCTGGTGATTCGTTTATTTGGCAATCGACAATGGCAGTCAGCAGGGTTTAAGAACATCCGATGTCGACTCGCCTGCTAGTCAAATGCGTTTTGTTAAAATATACCTTTTCACTTTTTAGGTCTTTTGGAAAATGTTGTTTGTGCTGTATTTAGACCTCTCTACCAAGAAATTTGTTTTGCATGCACACGTATAAAAATTGCGGTTTTTATCAAACGCAATCATAGGTTTTAACGTTGTTTTCAATTTAGACTTGTATATATATATCCCAATAGCATGAGTTCGAATCCTGGCGAGGGAAGAACAAAAATTTGCTTCCGCAAATTTGCAGATTTAACATTGTGTTGATATTTAGAGTAATTATGTATATATCATATATATGAGGGGGTGGACAGGGTGTAAGTACCCTTCTCCCACCTCCCACTTTTAGAATCTTCTCTTCTCTCCCACCTCCCTCCCCCTTCTCCCACCTACGCCCCCACCTCCCACCTCCCTCAAAAGCTGTCCACCCCCTCATAATCATATACATTTCTAGATATTTTTTTGTGCAAAATTGTTGATTTCTAAGTTCAAAAACGAAAAGCTTAATGCAATCCAAGCGGTCAGTCCGTTTGAGTAATGATGATCTTGGCTAATGACACGTCTTTTCAAAAATAAATTCTCAAAATGTATTTTTAAAACATGCATCGAAAAATAAAAACAACGGGCACCTGTTTCAGCGTCATGTTGTTTGGCAACTAAATCACGTGACAACTTTCAATCAAGATGGCGGCATCAGAGAAATGTGTATTCCGTTGAAATGAAAACAAATCGATCATAGCTATTGATATAAGACTGAATCAATTATCAGATCAAACAAACCTTTTGTTTGTAATGTTGTGTAAATTTGTAAGTAAAGACCCAATTATAGATTTCCAATTGTGTCGTTTATCATGTGAATTACAATGCCTGTTTCACAAGCTGCACATCGATGACGATGTGCAATATAATATGATCTTTGAAAGCCCGAATGTAGTTTTAATTTCAGGAAAGTTCAGCTTCAAAATAAAGAAGTCTTAGAGTTTTGGCAATCTAATGAAATTGTTTAATCATAGATAATTTCTGTAAAGTCTAAAATAAATAAATAATGGAGTTATTTCCCTTGATTTATACTTTTGAAAGATGTGTTCACAATTTTCTTTCAAATCTAAGGGTTTTCAAGAGCTGAAGTTATATCAAAAACAATTAAGAAATTATTCAAAATTTCAATAATTTTTGAAATTTATACTAGGCACTCGATCATCAACACTAATTGTGGTGATCTCATACATGTATGTGATAAACTGTGAAACTCAGATCAGGAGATTGGGAAATTTTGGTCAGGAGTTTTATTGACATATATTTTGGTAAAAAAAGCAACCATCTGATTTTAAAATTGTCTTTTTTGTGTGCTTTTCTTCAATTTTCCATCATTTTTTTGTCCTTCTCAATGTGTTTACAATGTACATGATGTACCATTGAAGCCTGTCTCCTATACTCAATACTATAAATACCATTTATTTGAGTGATGTTAATCTAAAGAATAATTAAAAACCAATTGTTCAGAGAACAATTGAAGGTCTTTCCACAGCAATTTTTAAATTCATTGGAAAGAAGCTAGTTCGTGTTTACTCAAAGTTAAAACTGGCATCTTATCATCAGTTTCTTCATACTGATGCGATAAATAAGTGGTTTCTATATACTTCTGAGTGAAATAAGGGAGATAATTAGCTACTTCCGGTGAAGTAAATGTCAATTCCGGTCTCATATAATAGTTTCTTTCACACTGATTCCAAAAATATATAGTTTCTATATACTTTTGCTTGTGAACCAGGAGATAATTGGCCACTTCCGGTTTATCGAAAGTCATTTCTAGTCTTCAGTGATAAGTTAATGTATAAAAATTACAAAATATATGGATTCCGAGTACTTTTCCATGAAGAAAGTGCCAAAATGGCTTCTTCCGGTTTTCTCAAGGTCATATTATGTCATCCAATTGTTTGTAAAAGGTCATATGGTTTTATAATGAACCAAGTTGAAGTAATAATCAATTAACCTTATAATTGGACATTTCATGGGCACTTTCTCCTATAAGATGCCATTAGATTGTTTCAGACCAAATGTAACATATCTTCATTACAATAAAGCAAGCATTTTGCACTTGTTGCTTCATATATATTTTTAAAAGTGTTTGAGAAAATGCACAAACAAGGAAAAGTCAAAATTGAGAACTTGACCTTGACCTTTGACCTTGACCTCATTTTCTAAGTTAGGACCTAGGGACCTCAAATAAAAACATTCCAGGGTTATACGGTTAACGGTTAATGAGTTAAAAAAACATACTGACAAATTTATTTGGTAAAGGTAGATAACTCCTTTAAAATTTCATCGAATCGCTTCGATCCAAATTAGCCAAAAATTCCTGAGGATGTAACGAACAATTTAGAAAAAGAATTTTGTCGATATCTTTTTTTGTTACGAAGAAGATGCACACACTTGATAAACAGTGAATAGGGAGATAACTCTTACAAAGAAAATTGTTTTCGAATTAGAATGGGTGAAAATAAGAAGCGCATAAACTGTATGATACTAGATAAGAAATATCTTAGCGACATATTGCGAAACAAAAATTTTATGCGATAACAAAATTTGGCGGAAGAAAAAAATAATCAGAACTACAAATACAATAGGTCTTTCCACAGAAAAGTGGAAAGACCTAATTAAGAGGAATATGTTTTAAAAATAATTATTAAGAATTAAAGCACTATGATTTTGATCTGAATTGTATTGGTGTAAACATATTTATTATATGTCTCTGGTATTGGTAATTACTGTTTGAGTCTGTGTAGTTGATTAAACTTTACACTGTGGAGGCTGTAATCGCCTTTGAGTCAAGGTAGTCCCTGCTCTCAGTTTGGAACTTCATTAACATATGCTGAAGATGTAGAATGTTGAGCCTGAAGCAAAGTCTCTTACCAGCCTTTTGTTAAACAATAAATGCTTTTTTTCTGCATCAAATCTTTTCGATCAATGTTTTGACAACATTCCATTTTTATACGACCGCAAAGAAATTATGTGGTCGTATATTGGTATGACTTTGGCGTCGTTGTCGTCTTCCGAAGACACATTGGTTTTCGCACTCTAACTTTAGTTTAAGTGAATGGATCTCTATGAAATTTTACCATAAGGTTCAATATCACAAAAGGAAGGTGGGGGATTGATTTTGGGGGTTATGGTACCAACAGTTAAGGAATTAGGGGCCAAAAAGGGGCTAAAAATAAGCATTTTTGTAACTTCCAGACATAACTTGTGTGTTATTGTATGGATCTCTCTGACATTGTACCACAAGGTTCCATATCACAAAGGAAATGCTGGGATTGATTTTGGGGGTAATTGCCTCAAAATTTTAGGAATTAGGGGCCAAAAAAGGGGCAAAAAACAAGCATTTTTCTAGTTTCATGACAATAACTTGTGTGTAAGTGTATGGATCTTTCTGAAATTGTACTACAAGGTTCCATATCACAAAGGGAAAGCTGGAATTGAGTTTGGGGGTAATTGCCCAAAACGTTTAAGAATAAGGGGCCTAAAATAAGCGTTTTTCTTGTTTCCAGACAATAACTTGTGTTCAAGTGTATGGATCTCTCTGAAATTGTACTACAAGGTTCCATATCACAAAGGGAAAGCTGGGTTTGAGTTTGGGGGTTATTGCCCTAAATGTTTAGGAATTTGGGGCCAAAAAGGGGCCAAAAAGGGGCCAAAAAACAAGCATTTTTCTAGTTTCCAGACAATAACTTGTGTTCAAGTGTATGGATCTCTCTGAAATTGTACTGCAAGGTACCATACCACATAGGGAAGGCTGGAATTGATTTTGGGGGTGATGAATCATAAGGGGGTTTAAAAAATTTGGGGGAGGCATTTTTTTTTATTTTTTTTCCTTTTTTTTTCTTTAAAATTTTTCATTTTAAATTGTTTTAACAGTTTATTTCTGATTTATATATAAAAGCAAATAATAATGATATGGTTTGAATAGGTAAATTAAAATTTTTTAAGTTCTTAGACCACATTCATTCTGTGTCAGAAACCTATGATGTGTCAAATATTTAATCACAATCCAAATTCAGTGCTGTATCAAGCTTGAATGTTGTGTACATACTTGCCCGAACCGTTCAGGGTTCGACCTCTGTGGTTGTATCAAGCTGCGCCCAGCTGAGCATTTTATCTACAATGCCGTTATTTACCTTTAATCATCATTGACCTGTTGCATAAAAAGGTGCCATATTGAACAATTACTATCCTTTCACCTGTTGATTGTTCAATCAAAATATAATCACTGGTAAATTAGCCTCCAGCTCAAAATATACCTGAGTTCTGTAATGTCAGTAACATTAGAAATCTATCTTTTATCTGACCGTGCGACAGCTTAACAGCCAGTCAACGTCCTTAAACACCCCCTAGTAGTACCATCTTTTAACATGTTGATAAACTTGGGTTTTTACCAGTTACAATAATAATGGTAATGTTTACATAGAAAAAAAAATGTTTGAAAATTTTCATTCATGATAAACAGGATAATGATCTCTCTTCAATGGGGGACAGAAGAAGACCACTGAGAACTAGACTATTGTCATCCTGAAATAATGTTCAAATGTATCTGGTTGTGTGGTTGTGTATTCACTTTTAAGTGCAAGAGGTCATGAGATCGATCCCCAAATGGATCAAAGCTAATACTCGAATTTTTCCCCCTGTTTCTTCCTTAAGACTGTATAAATTTTATTATTTCCTGCTTCTTCGCTAAGCATGTGGCATTATAGAGTAAGAGCAAGGACTTATTAATTGGCTCAGGGTCAAAATAATGTGTCCGAATAGGGTGATATGTCTACCTTGTGAACTATCAAAACATCCAGCTCAGCATGTCAGTCTAGAACAAAGCAGGGTTCATATTAGAATCACATCACAACATGTTCTCATCCTAATATCCCTGTAACATTCTCCACTGGCATATATTAAATAAGGAAACAGAACTAGGGTTTATGAGTCAGGTCATGGATCCAGGACTTGTGGTAAGGGGGCCATAATAATGTTGCCAATCGTAACAAGGCAAATATTGGCAATACCTCATTTCTTACCCCCTTCATGTATGTCTTTGCTTATTTTGTCTCTAAAGAATCGGTTCAAACAAAAGTGTTTCCAGCCAAAAAGTCACAGTTCACTTTTGAGACATTATTTTCTAAAATTAACAGAAGATTATTTTTCTTAAACATTATGTATCATGGTAAACAATTTTATAAACAAACTTTAATTGTAAAAAAGAAAAAGAAATTATGATTGATAAAATAACCAAGCTGTCAAATTACTTGTTAATGACTGGTGTCTTTGTGTCTAAAAATGTATCCATTGTGTGATGAGTCATCATTTTACAATGCAAATTACAATTGCCTTAAGTCTACAATGAATCAATTTTATAAACAGCTATTATTTCAAGAATTGTCTTGTATATTAAAAGATTGCAAATGAGGATATTGTGACTTTTTGCCCTGTCAAAATTTGAAACTTTCTGAACTGTCATGACTGTGACTTATTGTTCTGTGACTTTCTGAACTGTCATGACTGTGACTTATGTGAAGTCCATGACTTTCTGAACTGTCATGACTGTGACTTATGTGAAGTCCATGACTTTCTGAACTGTCATGACTGTGACTTATTTTTCTGTGACTTTCTGATCTGCCATGACTGTGACTTATTGTTCTGTGTCTTTCTGAACTGTCATGACTGTGACCCATTAAATGTTCTGTGACTTTCTGAACTGTCATAACTGACTTATTGTTCTGTGACTTTCTGAACTGTCATGACTGTGACTTATTGTTCTGTGACTTTCTGAACTGTCATAACTGACTTATTGATCTGTGACTTTCTGAACTGTCATGAATGTGACTTATTGTTCTGTGACTTTCTGAACTGTTATGACTGTGACTTTCTGAACTGTCATGACTGTGACTTATTGTTCTGTGACTTTCTGAACTATTGTGACTGTGACTTATTGTTCTGTGACTTTTTGAAATGTCATGAACGTGACTTATTGTTCTGTGACTTTCTGAACTGTTGTGACAGTGACTTTCTGAACTCTCATGACTGTGACTTATATGAAGTCCATGACTTTCTGAACTGTCATGACTGACTTATTGTTCTGTGACTTTCTGAACTATTGTGACTGTGACTTATTGTTCTGTGACTTTCTGAACTGTCATGAATGTGACTTATTGTTCTGTGACTTTCTGAACTGTTGTGACTGTGACTTTCTGAACTGTCATGACTGTGACTTACTGTTCTGTGACTTTCTGAACTGTCTTGATCTTTCTTGAAAGTGACCTATTGTTCTGTGACTTTTTGAACTGTCATGACTATCACTTTTTGATCTGTGACTTTCTGAACTGTCATGACTGTGACTTATTGTTATGAGACTTTTTGAACTGTCATGAACTCTTTTGAAAGTGACTTATTGTTATGAGACTTTCTGAATTGTTGACTGTGACTTATTGATCTGTGACTTTCTAAACTGTCATGACTGTGACTTATTGTTGTGAGATTTTCTGAACTGTCATGACTCTGATCTGTTGTTCTGTGACTTTCAGAACTGTCATGACTGTGACCAATTGTTGTGAGACTTTCCGAACTGTCATGACTGTGACTTATTGTTCTGTGACTTTCTGTCAATTTATCTCCTGGCCTGCCTCAACCACGGAAACTTCCCTTTGAATAGAGTATATGGAATTAAATATGGATAGAAAAAATGTACTGCATAAATAAGTTATAAATAAAACAAATTGTAAAATATAATAAAATGTTTAATATATGAACTTCATAGCTTCGATTATTGAAGGATTAAAAAAGTTTTTTTTCTAGAGGTTATCGACTTGTTAAGTGGCCAATGATAACTCACAAACTTACCAAAAGTCCAGAAGATTTTTATTTGAAGTTTGTGAGTTAGCAGCCCAGTTTACAGAACCTGACACTCACAGTAACCTCTAGAAAAAAATTGTTTAATCTTTAATATAATTCTCAACCCAACATTTGTAATTTTTTGTTTAATTTAAACTTTTAGAACACCAATGCAAGATTCCATTCCTATGTATCTGGCATGAATAGTGCAAATTACAAATTATTTCCATTGGTTACAAAAGTATTTTCAGCATCAAGATCTATTAATGGAAAAAGATTTAACGGAACAAATTGCAAAGAAATCATATAAGAATTATCAAATGATTAAGTCATGATAGCCTTGAAACTACAGTACACATTGTTTTTATGACATGCGAAAAATAGAAAAATAACTCTTCTTATGAAAAAGTCAACAAAATCATTGAATAGTAAAACAATGTAGGTGATGCTACTGACCAAAGGTTATTTCTAAACAACAATAATTGATAGCGTCCTTGCTAAAACGAGACAAACATTGGAAAGATTTCAATGTTTACAAGGGAGGTAATATTTTGACTCTAAGATTTCACCCTGTTTTACACAATGTGTTTATTTCTAATGTTGAGAATGAAAATTGTTTTCATCCTGAATATTCATTAAATATTTTGTCTCGTGGATGTTAATCTTGCTCAGGTTTTAATAGTTTATATTTCTAGTTTTGAGTTCAGGGAAGATTATATATTTCTTTGTATTTTGAATGTTAACAGTCAATATCTTGCCAACTTGAAGATAATAATAATTTTAATATTCAAGTTCAGTCCTGGTGAAGGATGCTAATTTTTTTTTACATAAAATTTCTACTTCAGACTCATTCAAGATAATTTTGCTGAGTTTTAATTTTTTTATGGTCAATCTAAGGGGAAGATAATTTGGCCCAGATGATAACAATTTTAATTTTTAATTTGCCAGTTGAAGCTGAGGGGATGATAATCTTGCCCTGATGAGAATAATTTGATTTTTTTATTTGCCAGTTGAAGCTGAGGGACAGATAATCTTGCTCTGATGAGAATAATTTGATTTTTTAATTTGCCAGTTGAAGTTGAAGGACAGATAATCTTGCTCTGATGAGAATAATTTGATTTTTTAATTTGCCAGTTGAAGTTGAAGGACAGATAATCTTGCTCTGATGAGAATAATTTGATTTTTTAATTTGCCAGTTGAAGTTGGAAGGACAGATAATCTTGCCCTGATGATAATAATTTTATTTTTTGAATTGCCAGTTGAAGCTGAGGGACAGATAATCTTGCCATTTGAAGCTGAGGGACAGATTATCTTGCCAGTTGAAGTTGAGGAATTGATAATCTTGCCAAAATGTCAATGAATTACGTTGGTAGTATTTCCCTGATGGATAGGGGAGATTATGACCGAGGAGACTCTCCTGCTCAGGCCATCTTGGATAAAAATGCTCGGTCTGTAGCCCAACGAATCGCAGATGAAACCAGGGAAGAGTTGGAGAAGGTTTTAGAACGGGTAGAACATGTGAGTACAGCTAGTATTTACCATTTTCATATAAGCTTAGAATAAAAATGTCAATAAAAAAAATGCTTACTATAGGTTATTATATTTGTTCATTGTTGAGGGCTTTACATTGGCCTATATTTTGATTATTAAAAGTCAGTTTGTAACAATATATATTCTCCTAAAGTTTGAAAGAAACTTTGATGAAGGTCAATCAGGAAAAGTGCTATGAATGCTCCAAAGGAGTCTTTTCACAATGGATGAGTATTGGCTATGAGATTTAAAAACTTTAAATTATGCATTATTTGTGTTGTTGCATCAGTTTTGGTCAAATTTTTCTATGATTTATAACAGTTTTTTGAAAAGTTATCTTTGACCACAACCACTGATCCATTAAAAATGGTTTCGTCTTGGAATTCAATAAGTCTAGTAAATCCACACATTTTTTTGACAACATGTCCCAAAATGTGCTGTCTTTTTGAGCCTATAATGTACTTTTATGAAGAGGTTTGTTTATTTAGTATTCAAACTTTTGAAAGAATTCCATTAAGAAACAAATTGTGACCTTTTTAATGATTTAAGATAAAGTTGAAATTCAAGGCCATAATTTTGCAAAAGTGAACTTATTTATTTATTTATGATTTATAAGGAAAATGATATGTCCACTTTGGACATAAGGGTCATCTAAAAACATTACCCTCGTCCAATATTGGAGGGTGGATATGGCAAATTCCCTGGAGCTGTCAGTCACATCTATCCTATAAACCACCTTTTAAAACTTTGTAGACTGTTATAAACTGATCTGCCCTTCCATCTAAAAGCTCCTCTCCAAAGGAACGGGTACATGCAATTATCCCCTTGGCATTAATTGGACGAGTCTTACAAATCCAATGATTCGCTAAGTAATATTGACCAAATATATTGACACGAACTCCAACAAATGGACTAAAAGTTCAATATTAAAGTATGGTGGAATGGTGCTGAAAAATAATTAAGTTTCTATAAGTTGACTCCAATCATGGCAAGATAATCATAAATCTACGTGGTAATAGTCAGCAGGGTGTCTGGGTCCCCCTTATAGAACTACATGCATGGTTAATGCATAGACTTTTTACATGTCCCACTCCAAGCCTTGCCCAGTTTTGTGATCCAGGGCCTCCCTTTTTCAAAATTCTGGATCTACATCTTATATCATTACCCAATGTTAAGAAGCTCAATATAGATCAATATAAAATACATGTATGAGCACAGCACTACAAAAAGTTTTACAGAGGCATTTCTATCCTTCCATAACAGTGATAAGAAAAATGCTATATTTACGATAAATATTGATGACATTTACTTTAAAAACAGAGGTATCCTTCACTATCTTGCACAGTCCACGCTCATCATATTGAAATCTGTAAACATTTTAGGTAGATGTTATTTTTATTTTCAAAAAGCCTAAGTGATAAAAAGAGAAATACATAAATAGAAAATAAATTTAAATGCCTCAGATTTTTATGCATTGTTATATCAACTATTTACCCATTTTTAAAATCTTTTGAACACTCAACTTTATTTATATTGCGACTGAATTTACGCAATCTAAAATAAAAAATTTAATTGGCATCAATTATTGAACAAGTGAAGGTGGCATCTTAGCTCAATGTAGTAGCCTTGGCATCTTAGCTTAATGTAGTAGCCTTGGAATCCTAGCTCAATGTAGTAGCCTTGGAATCCTAGCTCACTGCTCAAATGTGGATGTGAAGAGGAGATTGGGCCAGGATCCCAGGCTACTCATAGTAGATACCACACAAGGGTGTTAACACATACTCGACAAACGGAGTTGGTATCTTCATTTTACTTATGAATTTTCCTTTGGAGTTCGGTATTTTAGTTATATTACTTTTTTCATTGAGAAATCTTTAGGGATAGGATTCTTAGGAATCTGCTGATTTTTCTTTGTCAATATAATATGTAATAAACACGCCTCATAATGCACTTGTCTAGCCAAAATTATAATCATGCAGCCTGGAAGCTGACTGGGAGATTTAGGCTGTACCTATTGTTAGTGTATCGATAAAAGAACAACAACAGGTGGTCAATTTGACTGGTTCCAACAAAAAAATAAACCATAGAGGTGCCAAAGGTTATCTAATGGGGATTAATAAAGATTAGTTTTAATCTGATTGATATTGTAGAATAAATTGTAAATTAAATCCAGTTGATCACTGACATTTGTATATGTTCACCTCAATTAATTATAGATGTAAGCACATAGACCGTTGGTTTTCCCGTTTGAATGGTTTTACACTAGTAATTTTTTGGGGCCCTTTATAGCTTACTGTTCGGTGTGAGCCAAGGCTCCGTGTTGAAGACCGTACTGTGACCTATAATGGTTTATTTTTACAAATTTTGACTTGGATGGAGAGTTGTCTCATTGGCACTCATACCACATCTTCTTATATCTACATAGTGTCTTTAGTGGTACATGTATAACACCTTAATCTGACCTTTGAACTTTCTCTGTATATATGTTCATATGGATTATAGATGTAAGCACATAGTGTCTTTTAGTGGTATAACACCTATATCTGACCTTTGAACTTTCTCTGTATATGTTCACATGGATTATAGATGTAAGCACACAGTGTCCTCAATGGTATAACACCCTAATCTGACCTTTGAACTTTCCCTGATCAGTAGTTTAAAAACTACTTGATGTTACAAATATTTGTGTCAAATTAGAAAAATAACTTATAACTTGAAAAAAATGTTATGAGGGGGACATGAGGAGTATTTCAGTAAGATATCAACCCCATGATACATCATTTAAACACTGATTTTTACCTGCAACGCCAATGGCAAAAGCAGGTCAAGTAACCACTCCAGTCTGTCCCATATTCTGTCTGTCTGTCCGAAAAAACAAAGATCTTTATTGTCGCAAGTCTAAAAATAAACTGTCTAAATTCAAAAACTATCTTTTTGTCAAGCACACAAACATTAGATTTATTTGGGGAACATTAGACGTAATGTGTGTTGTTGGGTTACTGTCTCATTGATAATATACCCCACATCTCTGTTTACTCATATTTATCAAGCATTAAGCTTTAATACAGTTTTCAGCAGGATAAGGACCCCTTTCCCAATGAGAATTATTTAAAAATAATTAAAATTCCTAAATATATCAAATTTCTCATATAATTTTGCTTCCCAATTCATCTAGAATTTTGTGGACACAGTCCTCAAGATTGACATTTCAAATAAAAAGTAAAATCACAAAAATACTGAACTCCGAAGAAAATTCAAAATGGAAAGTCCCTAATCAAATGGCAAAATCAAATGATAAAACAGATCAAACGAATAGACAACAACTGTCATATTCCTGACTTGGTACAGGCATTTTCAAATGTAGAAAATGGTGGATTGAAACTCTGGTTTATCATGTTTATACTCCCATATTTGATTAACATTAAGAAAAATTAGAAATGATTAATTGAGTGTTCTAGATGACCTTCGGATTATTTGTTAATCTTTCTGTATTATTGTTTTCCATCCCATGCTACTTGTTTGAGATGTGTGTTTATCAGTCATGTAGGATGACGTCATGAGCTATGAGTCATTGACTTTGCCTTGGAAAATAGATATAAACAAATTGTTTAATTTTTTTCAAAACACTGCTTCTATTGGTAAAATTTTCAAATTCATGTGACTTTGTCAGAACTAATGAAAAATATCTATAGTTTTATTATAAACCAAATATCTGTTATCAAGAAAAATTAGCAATAACTATTATTTCTTATTTATTGATGTTTTCATCCTAAATCCTCATATAAGGCAGACCACAAAAATATCACATTTCTCAAACGTTATTTTGATTTGACAAGAATTAAACAATAAACACAAGCCCTATAGAGGTTTTGTTAGAATTGATAAAAAAAACTAACTGACATTAAAACATAGATCATGACACAACATATGCAAATAACCTATTGGGTAATAGCAAAACAATCCAAATTTATATGTTAGAAAAATTGCATACTAGCAATTATAATACATGAACGATTTTAAATGAAAACAAAGAACAGGAGGCAAACATTAGATATGTACAAAAATGTAATAAAAAATAAACACGCAAAAATACACAAATGAGAAATAGATAAAATTGGAGATACAAAATTACTTTTTTTAATATTTATATATAAATAAGAAGATGTGGTATGAGTGCCAATGAGACAACTCTCCATCTAATGTGTAAAAAGTAAACAATTATAGGTCACAAATAATGCCATACTTAATAGGAACTTTTCTTTTCAGATCTATGATTCTTATGAGAACAGTATGGAGTTGATCTTCCAGACCCAAAACAGTGCTAATATGGAATATGTAAATGATATTGTAAGTTTTCCATAGTACTATTTATAGCTCTTAGCTTTCTTATCAAATTATATTTAGGAAAAATTAACCATCACACTAAAATCTACCTCAACCCTCACTTGTTATAACAAGATAAAGGGAGGCAATCTAAATTGTTAACTTGACGTATAATTCTCATACTCTTCCTTGCACATGTACCAAGAGTCAGGACAGTGGGGATAATCAAAAACCAGTTAAAAAAAATTGTTAACTTGATGTAATAGAATAAATAATTCTCATACTCTTCCTTCTCTTGCTGAGTGTACATGTACCAAGAGTCAGGACAGTGACAGCCATTTCAACTTCAAAAGATATTTCATCTACTGCTGATTGTAAAATAAGTTACAAGACGGGATAATCAAAAACCAGTGGTAGACAGACATCTTGACCAATAGTAAAACAACAAAATTAAAAACAAACAACAGTCCATAAAACAATACACAGATATCTAAAGATTGAGCAACGCATACCCCTCCAAAATCCAGAGAAATCTCAGGTTTTCAGGAAGGGTAAACAATTCTAGATTCTCGAGAGCCCCCTTTTTGTTGCGCATGACAAGTAATAATAAGACACAGTGAGTACTGTGATGAACAAGGAAAGGAGGACTGGACAAAATAGTGGAACATATCTGTGGTCAACTGTAACACAGATATTCCTTAAGGTTTTCCCTTAGAGTAAATATTTTGTTAATGTTTTGAAATAATGTTTTATGATGATTGTGTATTATAGAATGAGCTTGAAGAGATAATGAAAGATCAAATCAAAAAGAGAAAGGTATGTACAAAATGCCTATATGGCTGTCTGTATCCGAACCACCATTTATTTAAAACTCAGATTTTAATGCTGATATAAGTCATAATTTTTGTCTCGCCTTGACAGAAGAAAAGATAATTTTATGATAGGTCAATGGTATTTGGTATGCAGTTGTATTAGCATTGGCACATCTCATTTCTATGGAGATTATTTGGCCCTGTACCTTCCGTCATGGTTCATTGAATATTTTGCATAACTTACATGTATTGCTATTTTAATTTCAACATTTGAATTATCAAAATAACAAAAAGGCGAGACATATCTATGTGTTAACAGTTTATTGTAGGAATGTATGATTAATATGAATCAAAGGATATACATGACAACAATCAAGTCTGCTGTAAAAGATATTGCTGTGGTTTACTGTAAATTATTTCTTTATCCCTGTTTTGTAATCTGTTAATTGAAAGCATGATCTATAAGGGTCTGGATGGGTCTTTTTTCTGGTCTATTTTGAATTTTTCCCCACATTAATATATACTCTTTATATTGAATAACCCAATTTTTCTCCATTTATTATATTTTTTTGACAATTATTTTTTGTTCTTTATATTGTAGCATAATATTATTATTTTTTTTTCTTCTTTTTTTTGGCTATTTTATCTATCCTCACTTTTTGGCTCCTTTTTTCTCTCCATTCTTATCTTTTTTTTGCAGTTTTTCTCTTTACTCTATATTTTAGAAAACCCATCATTCTCTATTCTTCCCCCCCCCCCCCTCCTCCCATTTTTCTCTTATCTTTGTTTATTTCCATTTCTCTTGATCCTTTTAATTTGCTCTTTTTTTCTCTATTCTTTAAAGGGGCATTAGCTGTCAAATCCATGTTCACTGATTTGACTCAAATTCTCATATTTGATTTATAACATACTAAAACGTATATCCAAATAATAAAAAGTCTAAAATAAACAATTCATGATGCACGACTCGATAATTTGTATCAGCATTTCGTGTGTATTTTACTTTTTAGTCTAAACGCCATGTAGTTAACCATTGAGGTGATCTCCGAAGATTACTGACAGTCGTAATACCTGTTATAAACATAAGTCTAGATATAATTAGATAGCGAATTCGTGCAATTGGATTTTTCTAGGTCTGTTTGATTTCATATTATAGGTTTAAAAAATATGTTAATCTTTTATTATGTATAAGAATGAGTTTTTGTAGATCAAATCAGGCAACCAAATGGTTTACCCTTGTTTCACTTCCAATCTTGACATTCTTTTCTTTTTAATAGCTGAACACGCCTAGTTCATGCGTAACCCATCTCTAGCTAAGGGGTTCAATTGAAGTTCACATGAATACGGATTTAATGAGGTCGAATTATTCACCTGCAAGTGAATAATTCATAAGCAATGTTTCTTTGCTTATTTTGAAAAAAACTAAACCAAACTGGCTGCTAAAAGCGAATTATTATATAACTATTTCACTTTTGTTAATGATTGAACAAAAAAAAATATCTCATAGCTAATGCCCCTTTAATTTTTTGGATAGTTATTCACCATTGTGTAAATTCTATCCCGTTCCATGATCTATTTGATGCTTTCATTAGCAAAAGCAATAGATAGAGGTATTCAGGGATAAAATGTTCTGTAATGTAACAATGAAAAGAATGAATCTTTTTACAAGGATGTTAACACTGGATGTTAAGTAAGCAACAATCAATCAATCAAAGTGATTTTATATTTTCAGTATCAACAAGGACTGACGATATTTATAGTTGGTTACGAGAATGTTTGTGGCCAGAGGTTAAAACTTCTACAACATGTTAATGAGGTAAGAAAATAGTTCACATCAATTTTATTTACCTCTATATAATTGCATTACATGTACGTTTCATAGGAATCCGTCCTTTTGATTTTTTTTGGCTGACAACATTCGTGATGCAATCCAAAATTATATTTTATCGCTCAATATAATCATGCAACAATGTGCTTCCTATGATAACGTCACAATAATGCATATGAAAACAAACCAACTCGTTATTTCATAGTTGTAGCACATAAATGTAATTATTAGAATTGAAGCTTTTTTTATACGACCGCAAAAATTGAAAATTTTTTGGTCGTATATTGGTATGACGTTGGCGTCGTCGTCGTCGTCGTCGTCGTCGTCGTCGTCGTCGTCTGGCGTCGTCCGGCGTCGTCCGAAGACACATTGGTTTTCGCACTCTAACTTTAGTTTAAGTGAATGGATCTCCATGAAATTTTACCATAAGGTTCAATACCACGAAAGGAAGGTTGGGATTGATTTTGGGGGTTATGGTACCAACAGTTAAGGAATTAGGGGCCAAAAAGGGGCCAAAAATAAGCATTTTTGTAACTTCCAGACAATAACTTGTGTGTAAGTGTATGGATCTCTCTGACATTGTACCACAAGGTTCCATATCACAAAGGGAAGGCTGTAATTGATTTTGGGGGTAATTGCCTCAAAATTTTAGGAATTAGGGGCCAAAAAAGGGGCAAAAAACAAGCATTTTTCTAGTTTCATGACAATAACTTGTGTGTAAGTGTTTGGATATTTCTGAAATTGTACTACAAGGTTCCATATCACAAAGGGAAAGCTGGAATTGAGTTTGGGGGTAATTGCCCGAAACGTTTAGGAATTGGGGGCCAAAAAGGGGCCAAAAATAAGCATTTTTCTAGTTTCCAGACAATAACTTGTGTTCAAGTGTATGGATCTCTCTGAAATTGTACTGCAAGGTACCATACCACAAAGGGAAGGCTGGGATTGAGTTTGGGGGTGATGAATCATAAGGGGGTTCAAAAAATTTGGGGGGGGGGATTTTTTTTTTTTATTTATTTTTTCTTTTTTTCCTTTTTTTTTTTCTTTTAAAATTTTCCATTTTAAGTTGGTTATTTCTGATTAATATTTAAAAGCAAATAATAATGATATGGTAGGAGATACACACCAAACAGGATGTGTAAATTATTATATAATAAGTATTGTGCAATAGCAAGAAATTTTCAATTGCACAGTATTGCACAATTGCAAGAAATCTTCAATTGCACAGTATTGCGCAATAGCAAGAAATCTTCAATTGCACAGTATTGCGCAATAGCAAGAAATATCCAATAGCACAATATTGCGCAATAGCAAGAAATTGTCAATTGTACAGTATTGCACAATAGCAAGAAATATTCAATTGCACAGTATTGTGCAAAAGAAGATACTTTGTATAAATTGCTTATTTCTTGATCAATTTCAATGGGGTTTTATTCTTGAATTCTTGGGGTTCTTTAATATGCTGAATCTAACCGTGTATTAAGTTTTTGGATTTTGGGCCCCGTTTTTAAATTGGTCCACATTGAGGTCCAAAGGGTCCAAAATTTAACTTTGTTTGATTTCATCAAAAATTGAATTATTGGGGTTCTTTGATATGCCGAATCTAACCGTGTATTGAGATTCTTAATTTTTGGTTCCGTTTTCAAATTGGTCTACATTAAGGTCAAAAGGGTCCAAAATTAAACTTAGTTTGATTTTAACAAAAATTGAATTTTTAGGGTTCTTTGATATGCTGAATCTAAACATGTATTTAGATTTTTGATTATGGGCCCAGTTTTCAAGTTGGTCCAAATCGGGGTCCAAAATTAAACTTTGTTTGATTTCAACAAAAATTGAATATATGGGGTTCTTTGATATGCTGAATCTAACCATGTATTTAGATTTTTGATTTTTGGGCCCCGTTATCAACTTTGTCCACATTGAGGTCAAAAGGGTCCAAAATTAAACTTTGTTTGATTTCATCAAAAATTGAATTCTTGGGGTTCTTTGATATGCTGAATCTAACCATGTATTTAGATTTTTAAAGGCAGTGCTTTAATGCCTTTCTAGTTGCCGGGTTAATCCTTCCTTCCGCGATATCCAACTTATCTACGTGGGGGGTCATTAGGCTCCAAGTAGATCCGGAAATGTTGAATTCTCTCCTCTTCTTATTGTGATATAAAATGTTTTTTGTTTCATTTCATTTACATTGGGAAATAGAGAAACGATCATGGTGTTTTGTTAGTTTTAAAAACTTTTGACATATTTGTATTTTGCATTATAAGCAGTCAACCGATTGACAAACTAGAATTATTTGAATTCCGTGTGGAAAGAGCTCGGGTTAATTTCGAGTGTTATCTGCAATCTAGATGTTTATAAATCATTTCAGTCGTTGATATAATAATTAAGAGTCGACTGAACATTAATTATATTATACAATTTAAAGCGCATTTCTGTTTATGCACGTGAACCCGTCTAACGTTATTGTTATTTCGCAGTTATATAAAGTAGCAAATTATCGTTCCTGAATAGGTGGCGCCGTGGTAGCCGATCCTGTTCCTCAACTTCCGGTTTCTGCACTGTGCAACTATTTCAGTTACATTTTAAATTAACGATGCCAAGTACTTGTTGTTGTGTACCTGGATGTCATTTAAGAGAAGGACATGCATTTCCAAATGACTTAAAAAGAAGGAAAAGTTGGATCAACGCCATGGCCCAAACGCAGATTGGACGAGAACACGATTTCATCGTGGAGTCTATCTCAATCAGCTGTTGTTTGCAAGGCACATTTTACTGAAAAAGACTACGTGCAGGAAACTATTCATGGTAAAACTCTATTTTCTTTTTGAAATATATAGTTAAATATGTAATCGCCATGCGAATAAACCAAAGCCTGTTTACAACCGCAATTATCGTTTTAGAATAAAAGGGGGTGGTTAATTCAAGACGTCATAATTTTTTGGATTACGATTCAATGTGATCTGTTTGAGTTTTTTGGTGATTGCTGGGTGCAGGTCGTTTCGTAACCTGGTCGTTTCGTACCTAGTCGATTCGTAACTAACTAGTTCGTTTTGTAACTGAGACCTTTCGTAACCTTATAACAATATATCATGATATGAGTTGTAGGTTATGGAAAAAATGTTTCGATTAAAAATAATAAAAAGACTTATTGGCACTCATACCACATCTTCTTAAAACTTCTTATTGATGTATACAAGGATTTGTATAGTAAGACTATACAAATCCTTGATGTATACATATCTATATTTATTTATTAAATAATTGATTGCACATAATTTTACACTTTACAAGTACAGTTTTGCACACATACGAATAGAACAGAAGAGTTTAAAATGTCTATCATTATTTAGATGTACCCCGTCTTTATCAAAGTATCATTATATATAATCACACCAGGTACGAAACGTCTCAGTTACAAATCAACGTAGTTACGAATCGACCAGGTACGAAACGACCAGGTTACGAAACGACTAGCATTCTGATTGCTACAGTTATAATGATTTCTTACAAGAGGTATATCATACTGAGAATTATTTTAGCACTAATTATGCTAATGTAGTAATGACAGGAATGCATAAGCTATGCCTCATAGACTTTCTTGAAAAATATCAATGACAATGTTAACAGGAACAAAACAATGACATGCTCTCATCAATATTATAGTTATTTAGGTACAAACAATGTACGTTTGTTGCATAAGTCTCTCATTGTTTGTCCTTTGGATTTACATAACATACATTGAATCAGGCAAACATAGTTTTATCCAGATTGTAATGAATAAATCTAGTTAATATTTCGCCAGGTAATACAAAGTATACATTGCTAATGGAAGTTCATTTAATTATAAAAAAACTAATGTTTTATAACCTTTTTCAGGGCGCAAACCCACCATACAGAGACCTAAGTCTACTGCCATTCCCAGCCTATTTTCCTGGACCAAGCAAGAGACTGAATCGTCCGCAAAAAGAAAAATCAGGGCAGTTTCCTGTGAAAACAAAAGAACTAAACTTGATGAATATTGTAGTAGAAATCTAGAGGAAAGTTTTGATTGTAAAGTTGGTTTTCCTGAAGAAGTCATTCATACTGCAGAAAGGATTTATGACTGTCCACCACCAACTGCTGAGCTAATGTTTAGCTTCAAAGATGGAATTACGCAAACACCATCAATGTCTATGTTTTCAGCAGAGAATTTTGAAATGAAGACACGTGACACAGCCATGCATTTTTATACCAGTTTAGAGTTGTATACTAAATTTTTATTTGTTTTGACCACACTTGGTCCAACAGCACGTTGTTTGAGATACATATATTTTCAAATTGATAGGGTGTCAGTTGAAAATCAGTTTTTTTATGACTTTGATGAAATTGAGGCATTATACAACCAACTTTGAACTTTCTAGATTCTAGATTGAATCTAGTGTTAAGAATATTGTGTATATACATGGATTGTTTTTATGCCTAAACAGTGGTGTGAGGCTAACACTTGGCCATCTAGTGGTTTAGTCAGGCATTTTTCGCCATCCAACTTCAAATTAAAGTTTCCTACGACTTGGATTATTATTGACAGCACAGAATATCCCGTGATAAAACTAAAGCTCCTAGAGCTCAGGCAACCTTTTCATCATATAAAAACAGAAACACTGAAAATACTTGTATGTTCGACGCCTGGTGGTTTAGTCAACTATGTCTCTACTGCATATGTTGGTTCTACCAGTGACTATGAAATAGTTGAAAGATGTAGAATACAAAATGTAGTTCAATTATGTGATCCAGGTGACAGTGTGATGGCAGACAAAGGTTTAAATGTGCAAGATTTGTTTGCTAACTTTTTTCAAAAAAAGAAACAGAATTAGTTCCAAAACTCTTATACGGGATAGAAAAGTCTCCAATTAACATGTGCACATAGAGCGAATTATTGGACTTGGCAAAACATACAAAATTCTAACAAATCCTATGAATGGAACTGAAACAAAACTTTCATCTGAAATAACATTTAGTTTGTTTTATGTTGTGTAATTTTAAAACTTGTATTGTGCCAAAGGATGCAGAAATAAAAGTGACGCAATGAATTTTGTTCTGATATATATATATTTATAATTACATGCACATGTAAATTGTAATGCATATAAAAATAAGGAGATGTGGTATGATATTCAGTGAGTTTATCGAACTAAAGTGCATAAGAAATGGGTTTAAGCAGTTACAGGTGTTACTGTCACCGTACAATCTCCAACAATGAGAAAAACTTGTACCGTGTAAAAAATTTCAGAGATCTTACCACTAAGTTTTGTTGTCTCACCTTGACTTTGGTGAATTGTTTATATCTGTTGATGTAAATATAAAAAAGAAGATGTGGTATGATTGCCAATGAGATAACTCTCACAAGAGACCAAATGACACAGAAATTAACAGCTATAGGTCACAGTATGGCCTTCAACAATGAGCAAAGCCCATACCGCATAGTCAGCTATAAAAGGCCCGAAATGACAATGTAAAACAATTCAAACAAGAAAACTAACGGCCTAATTTATGTACAAAAAATGAACGGTACAATATAAGAACGAACTATAAAAATCACTTGAAAGAGGCTTAACTCATCAGATGGATAAATACAAATACACGTGGATGTGGTCGGGTAGTTGTACATCCAAACAAGAAAAAGACAGAAAGTACAGATCTGAGAGTACTTGCAGTTACTGACAGCTAGTTCAAAGCCACTAACAACTGATATAAAAATCTTGCATCTAAGACTAAATTATCAATCCGTAAGCTCCCTTTAGAATTTTATAAATTTTAGATTTTACATTTCTGAGTTATGGTGTTTTATTGGGATTTTCCAGTTTTTGTCGAGCCTGCGACTTTTGTCGCAGAAAGCTCGACATAGGGAAAGTGATGTGGCGGCGGTGGCATTGCTTACTTCTTAAAAGCTTTATATTTTAGAAGGTGGAAGACCTGGATGCTTCATACTTTGTATATGGATGCCTCATGTTACGAAGTTTCCGTCAGCCACATGTCCAATGTCCTTGACCTCATTTTCATAGTTCAGTGACTACTTGAAAAAAAAGTTAACATTTTTTGTAATGTTAAATTCTCTCTTATTATAAGTAGTAGGATAACTATGTTTGGTATGTGCGTACCTTGCAAGGGCCTCATGCCCGTCAGACAGTTTTCACTTGACCTCGACCTCATTTCATGGATCAGTGAACAAGGTTAAGTTTTGGTGGTCAAGTCCATATCTCAGATACTATAAGCAATAGGTCAAGTATATTCGGTGTATGGAAGGACTGTAAAGTGTACATGTCCAACTGGCAGGTGTCATCTGACCTTGACCTCATTTTCATGGTTCAGTAGTTATAGTTAAGTTTTTGTGTTTTGGTCTGTTTTTCTTATACTTTATGCAATAGGTCTACTATATTTGGTGTATGGAATGATTGTAAGATGTACATGTCTAGCTGGCAGGTGTCATTTGACCGTGACCTCATTTTCATGGTTCAGTGGTCAAAGTTAAGATTTTGAGTTTTGGTCTTTTTTTCTAATACTATATGCAATAGGTCAACTATATTTGGTGTATGGAAATATTTTATGATCTTTATGTCAGTCGCGCAGGTTTTATTTGACCTTGACCTCATTTTCACAGTTCATTGCTCTGTTAAGTTTTTATACGCCCGTTTACGGGACGTATTATGGTATACTGTTGTCCGTCGTCAACATGTCGGACATTAACTCAAAAATGCTTTTACCAATTTGCATAAAACTTTGGTGAATTGTTTTTATATATTGACGTGAGCTCCCTTTCATTTTTTATAAAATTTAGATTTTACATTTCTGAGTTATGGGGTTTTATTCATTAAAAAAAGGGGTGATTTTCCAGTTTTCGAACAATAACTCAAATATGCTGTCACCAATTCTCATGAAACTTTGGTGAATTGTTTATATCTATTGTTGTAAGCTCCCTTTTTATTTTCATAAATTTCTAATATGACATTGAGAATTAATTGAACTTTATTTGTTTATAGTCTGACAACAGGTTTACTAAGTATTGCACAACAGCAAGAAATCTTTAATTGCATATTCAATTCATATAACCAATTTCAAGATCTTTGACTACATTTATTCAGAAACCTATAATATGTCAAATATTTAATTACAATCCAAATTCAGACCTGAATCAAGCTTGAATATTGTGTCAATTTTTGCCCCAACTGTTCAGGGTTGGACCTCTGCGGGCGTATCTAGTTGTGTTTTGGTCTGTTTTTCTTAAACTATAAGCAATAGGTCAACTATATTTGTTGTATGGAAGAATTGTTAGCTGTACATGCCTGCCTGGCATGGTTCATCTGACCTTGACCTCATTTTCATGGTTCATTGGTCAATGTTTAGTTTTCTTGGTTAATGTTAAGTTTATGTGACAGTTGTAATAAAGCTTTATATTAAGGACTATCAACATAATATCAGTGATTAGTAAAGAAGGCGAGACATTTCAGCGTGTGCACTGTTGTTGGACAACAACTCAAAAATGCTTTAAGCAGTTCGCATGAAACTTGGGTGAATTATTTATAGCTATTGATGTAATCTCCCTATAGATTTTCATAAATTTCAAATATGACATTGAGAAGAAATTGAACTTTATTCTTTATAGTCTGGCAACAGATTTATTAAGTATTGCGCAACAGCACAGTTTATTGCACAACAGCAAGAAATCTTTAATTGAATATAAATTCAATTCATATAACCGATTTCAAGTTCTTTGACTACATTTATTCAGAAACTATAATATGTAAAATATTTAATTACAATCCAAATACAGACCTGTATCAAGCTTGAATATTGTGTCCATTTTTGCCCCAACTGTTCAGGGTTGGACCTCTGCGGTGTATCCAGCTGCGCTCAGCGAATCAGTTTATTTCTTAATTAAGAAATCCTTTTTTCATTCATAAATTACTTTAAACTTGGAAATATAATTTTGCTTGGAGTTATAGTTTCTAAAAAAGTATTGTCATTGAAAAAGTTGACATGTTGCAATGTACATTTATTCTACATAGTTCTATGGTACCAAATCAAATAGATCATTATATAAATAAGGAGATGTGTTATGATTGCCAATGAAACATCTATCATCCATACTTACCAGTAACAAACCACATTTGCAGAGTTGAATAAAATACAGTTGATAACATTTACTTATTTCTAAAAAGAAAATGCCTAACTATTTTAAACAGTATTTGAATATCAATTATATGGTCATTTTTATAAACTTCCTGTTACAAAACTTTGAATTTTTCGAAAAACTAAGGATTTTCTTATCCAAGGAATAGATTACCTTAGCCGTATTTGGCACAATTTTTTGGAATTTTGGGTCCTCAATGCTCTTCAACTTTGTACTTGTTTGGCTTTATAACTATTTTGATCTGAGCGTCACTGATGAGTCTTATGTAGACGAAACGCGAGTCTGGCGTATTAAATTATAATCCTGGTACCTTTGATAACTAATTTGACTATAAACATAGATAAAAAAGGTACAAACTGGATATAATGCACAAGTTCATAAACAAGTGAGAACAAACGCCTTCATGTAGTGCTCAGAATATGACATTCATAAAACTTGTTCAATATCATTAGAGAACTCTAAATCTTAAATACTGAAAGCCACCTCTGATAAGTACACTGTACTATGCAAGATAATGATATAACTGGACTAAAAATACACACAACCTGTAATTAACTGCCTTTACAGCGCTTTCGCGCTTTGATTTATTTGTGGACCCGCTATCAAATTGGTTCATATTGAGGTCAAAAGGGTCCAAAATTAAACTTTGTTTGATTTCATCAAAAATTGAATTATTGGGGTTCTTTGATATGCCAAATCTAACCGTGTATTTAGATTTTTAATTTTGGGTCCCGTTTTTAAATTGGTCTACATTAAGGTCAAAAGGGTCCAAAATTAAACTTAGTTTGATTTTAACAAAAATTGAATTCTTGGGGTTCTTTGATATGCTGAATCTAAACATGTGTTTAGATTTTTGATTATGGGCCCAGTTTTCAAGTTGGTCCAAGTTGGGGTCCAAAATTAAACTTTGTTTGATTTCAACAAAAATTGAATATATGGGGTTCTTTGATATGCTGAATCTAAACATGTATTTAGATTTTAGATTTTTGGCCCAGTTTTCAAGTTGGTCCAAATTGGGGTCCAAAATTAAACTTTGTTTGATTTCAACAAAAATTGAATATATGGGGTTCTTTGATATGCTGAATCTTACCATGTATTTAGATTTTTTATTTGTGGGCCCGCTATCAAATTGGTTCATATTGAGGTCAAAAGGGTCCAAAATTAAACTTTGTTTGATTTCATCAAAAATTGAATTATTGGGGTTCTTTGATATGCCAAATCTAACCGTGTATTTAGATTTTTAATTTTGGGTCCCGTTTTTTAAATTGGTCTACATTAAGGTCCAAAGGGTCCAAAATTAAACTTAGTTTGATTTTAACAAAAATTGAATTTTTGGGGTTCTTTGATATGCTGAAACGTAACATGTGTTTAGATTTTTGATTATGAGACCAGTTTTCAAGTTGGTCCAAGTTGGGGTCCAAAATTAAACTTTGTTTGATTTCAACAAAAAATGAATATATGGGGTTCTTTGATATGCTGAATCTAAACATGTATTTAGATTTTAGATTTTTGGCCCAGTTTTCAAGTTGGTCCAAATTGGGGTCCAAAATTAAACTCATTTTGATTTCAACAAAAATTGAATATATGGGGTTCTTTGATATGCTGAATCTTACCGTGTATTTAGATTTTTTATTTTGTGGGCCCGCTATCAAATTGGTTCATATTGAGGTCAAAAGGGTCCAAAATTAAACTTTGTTTGATTTCATCAAAATTGAATTATTGGGGTTCTTTGATATGCCAAATCTAACCGTGTTTTTAGATTTTTAATTTTTTTGTCCCGTTTTTTAAATTGGTCTACATTAAGGTCCAAAGGGTCCAAAATTAAACTTAGTTTGATTTTAACAAAAATTGAATTTTTGGGGTTCTTTGATATGCTGAAACGTAACATGTGTTTAGATTTTTGATTATGTGACCAGTTTTCAAGTTGGTCCAAGTTGGGGTCCAAAATTAAACTTTGTTTGATTTCAACAAAAAATGAATATATGGGGTTCTTTGATATGCTGAATCTAAACATGTATTTAGATTTTAGATTTTTGGCCCAGTTTTCAAGTTGGTCCAAATTGGGGTCCAAAATTAAACTCATTTTGATTTCAACAAAAATTGAATATATGGGGTTCTTTGATATGCTGAATCTTACCGTGTATTTAGATTTTTTATTTTGTGGGCCCGCTATCAAATTGGTTCATATTGAGGTCAAAAGGGTCCAAAATTAAACTTTGTTTGATTTCATCAAAATTGAATTATTGGGGTTCTTTGATATGCCAAATCTAACCGTGTTTTTAGATTTTTAATTTTTTTGTCCCGTTTTTTAAATTGGTCTACATTAAGGTCCAAAGGGTCCAAAATTAAACTTAGTTTGATTTTAACAAAAATTGAATTCTTGGGGTACTTTGATATGCTGAATCTAAACATGTGTTTAGATTTTTGATTATGGGACCAGTTTTCAAGTTTGTCCAAGTTGGGGTCCAAAATTAAACTTTGTTTGATTTCAACAAAAATTGAATATATGGGGTTCTTTGATATGCTGAATCTAACCATGTATTTTGATTTTGGACATTGGACCATAATAGGTAAATTAAAAAAATTGAAGTTCTTAGACCACATTCTTTCTGTGTCAGAAACCTATGCTGTGTCAAATATTTAATCACAATCCAAATTCAGAGCTGTATCAAGCTTGAATGTTGTGTCCATACTTGCCCCAACTGTTCAGGGTTCGACCTCTGCGGTCGTATCAAGCTGCGCCCAGCGAAGCATTTTATTATGTTATTTTATAGGGTTGTAAAAGCATTGATCATGTGCACATTTATAATATGAAGCTCTTCTGTGCTCCATACAAAATGTGCTTTTGTCAATGCTTCTACATCCCAATAAAATCACAATAAAAAACATTCAATTCTTTAAAAAATTATAAAAATCTATTCTTTATTGTCTAATTCTTGCATGATCTTGAATGGCATTTAGCTTCTTTGAAATGAACACATTGAAGTATCAATTAAATGTCTTATTAGTGTTTTATCAAAATTTTTCAAAGTGAACATGGTTTCATAACGAAATACTGTTAAGTGGAAAATTTTCACGAGGGGTGTAACTTTTGCCAATTTGGGTAAAATTTCCCCTCTTCTAAACGAGTATGTTCGATAAGACCCCAATATGGCTGTATTTCTAGCTTAAATTAGAAAATAGGAATTAATGGCCATTATCATAATGTATCAAACTTAAGAAATAATTCTGTCACGCCATGATTTATTCTCATTAACATGGGTAGGCATTATATTTGTCAATATCTTTATACCGAGTGTTAGCATAGATCATAGAGCATGGCATGATAGAAATATGTCAATTCTAATAGGAAAATTTAGAACTTTTGTACTTTGAAACGGACCTATAATACACTTTCTAAAGGCAGCCATTTTGATTTGATGAAGCCAAAACAATATAGAAAATCAACCATTTCACGATGAAAATGAACAGATACATGTTAACTTATTTTTAGTCATATAGAATGATTTTATTTAATTTCCTAGCTAGCAACACCCAACATAAATGTCCATTTTGTTCTCCGTCTTTGTTCAAAATACAACTGAAGTTGTAATTTCAATTGTGACATCAATCACGTGCAGCCCATGTTCTATTGGAAAAACATAAGACACTGTTGGTTCATGATACAGCATTTAACACGGGAGAATAAATAATAAAACTCAAATTTACACCAAACACATGCACATCAGTAAAAAAGTGATATATTGTGCCTATTGAAAATCTCACAAAAGAGCTTTTGATATCTGTGAAACAAGAAAGATAACTCAATTTTGATAATTAACACTTCAAATGAATAAAAATAAAAAAATTTCCAACCCTCATGACTTGGGACATGTACATACACCTATGGTTGGATTACACTAATTCAGATTCATCATCATTCGTCAGATGCCAATTTTTATTGATTTTTTATGGGTAAAGATAAACCACAAATTTAAATGTTAAAAAAATTACAAATTTACCAAAGACTTGTATGCAAACTTTGGCAAAACTATGAAATCAAATGAAGTAAAAAATACAATAATAATGAAGGACATGTGTCCACAAAAAAGATCTTTTAATAATTTGTCCTCAATCCATGAAAATTGGAATCCACAGTAATAAACTTATTTTGCAGTTCTTCATGGAGAATTCCAAAAGTTATGAAGAGGAAGACTGGTTTCCTAAGACACCAGATCTAGATCTTGACGATGCTGCTGTGAAGGTAGATGAGTCGTTGAATAAAGCTGAAGATCTTGCGAATCGTCTGGGAGAAATTAATCAGGAAATGGTTAATTGGCTGTCAAATTATGCAATAAACAAAGCATCAAGCAAGTAAGCTGGTTTTGTCTCTTTTTTATTCAAATTAAGGAATAACAGTACTGTATTTGAAGAGTTGCCACCATCAATTGGGGATTTGACAGTCGCAAATGCAGTTTTACTGGCGAAGCCTAGCAGATTCCATAAAAGGGTTATTTGTGACCATTAAATTTGAAATTGACTATGGCAGATTCAAATACAGTACTGTTAATCCTATTAGAATGCAGTACTCTTAAAATGTGCAAAATTAAACATTTTAAATATCCTGTAAATGTCATCTGCAATTGTGCAACATTGTTGCCAATACCTCTGACCGTCAACCTTGGAATTTATGGTAGTCGTCATCCAATCAAAAATGGTGTTTCATACCTAATTTCATCAAAATTTTGCTTTGATCTTTTCTACTGACAATTTTCCATCTCAAGCTACTTGACTGATAATAGTTTTTCTCAGTCAAGTAGAGTGATAACTTGATGACGTCATAAGCCTATGTCCCATTGACTTTGCCGTGAAAAATAGCAGAATAAGGACAGATTTGTAAATTTGAAAATCATATTTTTTGCTCTTCTTTAATACAGTTTATTTTGTTGATCTCATGTGACATAATGTATGACTAGTTCAGACTTTGCTAAAGGAAGAAAAGAATTAAGAATATAGGGAGGTAATGAATATGACTATTTGCTTGGTTAATTGAACAAAGAACCTTCTAGTCTTACTACAGAAAAGTATTATATATAATAATACTTTATTCAGAAGCAATACAGCTTATAGAATATACATTTTTACATCAAATTTTTAAATGCATGAGTGTATATGACATAACTACTTATATAAAGGGGAAATATATATCATTTAGTGAGTAGAATCTTAAATGAAGGTAACTGGTGTTCATAACTTTAAAATTTCATGGCAAAATCAGCACGCTTGTATACTAATTTTTGTCGTTTATAAGATGATTTAAGATTTGAGTGTATGGCGTTTAACCTAACTTTTGGTAGCAATTTTTATTTTAAAAGAATAGTTTTAACAGGAGTTCCTGTAAAAACATATTTGAGAAAACTACTAAGTTCTGACAGTAACTGGTACCGGATCAGTATCGAATATTCTTAAATATTTGGTTACTATCCAGACTTGCAGATAATTATATTTTTATACTGTTACAACGTATGTCTAAAATGCAATGTACATTTTAAATTGCCTTTATTTGATCAATGTTTCATTTTTTGAACAATACTCATTGATCTTATTTATGGACAAATTCAAGATGTTGATATAAGCTATTTTTTCTCACTTATAGAGCATTAGCATTTGTAGATGCAAAGTAAGTCGTGTGATGGTGTGACCTTGATTCACTTTGTCTCCTGATGCAGTCACATGACTTAACAAGATCTGTCACATCAGTAGCTGAGTTAGTCATGTGATGGTTTGACCTTAATTCACCCTTGCACCTGATATGACTTATTTCACCATTGCTTTAACACTCATTTTCCTATTTGAAAAATACACTACGGTTATTATGTATAAAACTAATCATTGACAAATGCTACAGTTTTTGTGAGTCCTTTTAGGATTATAATTCCCATGTATTTCAGGTTGCCTTTTATGAATAGTTCTAACTTATTTTTCAGCAAATTGGAGAAGTATGTTAATTAAAAATTCTTCATATATCTTCAACTATTATTATTTCTTTGGATTATTCTTTTGTACATTTTTGGGCTTTTCACAGCTTTACTTCATCTCCGACAATGGCTTCCTTCAGTGCACTTTGAAAGAATTTTATTCATAGAGCTTTTTGATATGAAATTACAATTGTACTGGTAATTGTGAGGTAAAATCAAAGAGCTTTAATAAAGGCATATTTATACAAGTATGTTAATTACTGTAGATTCATTATTATTTGTAGGATACCGACTTTTCGTGGAATTCATGAGAATAGTTGAATTTAAATGTTCAACAAAGTAAAAAAAGTTCTATAGGCTTGAATGCAGACATTTGCAAAACCAAGATATCAAATATCCATGAAAATTTGTACCCATGAAAATAATGAATTCACAATACATGTTCTAGCAAGATGCGTACATTTGACGCTTGTTGATAGAGGTCATTCGTACCCCTGTGGTGACCCTCAATAGTAAGATTACTTTATAGTTATGTATTTTGATATCATATTAAGCTTATTTACTTTTTATAAATTTTCAAGGTTAAAAGAGTAAGTATCATCGCAAACAGGATTATAATATTGCATGATGGGAAATAATTTGCATATTATTTAGACAAAGAATAGATTGGAATTGCATGATGGGAACTTATTTGCATATTACTTAGGCAGAGATTAGAAAATATTGCATGATGGGAAATTAAATTGCATATCATTTAGAATAAAAATAGATTGGAATTGCATGTTGGGACATAATTTGCATATATTACTTAGGCAGAGATTAGAAAATATTGCATGATTGGAATTTATTAGGCATAACCTAGACTAGCTTGATTTTATTTAACGCTGTTGCTTTTAATTTGATTTTTTATATTTCGTTTTGTATATTGCATTTCGGGTAATCATGTTCCAAAATGATATTTGGGTTTACATATATAGTAGATTTCTTTTCTTTCAATATATTGGTTTAGGCTATGGGAATGAACAAGATTTATTGCATATAAACACACTTAAGGATGTACTTTGGTGAAATTAAAAAAATGTAGAATTTAAAATTGATATTATAATTCAGAAGAGCATTAGATAAGGAAAAAAATAAGCTAAAAATATTGATAGGTTATGGAGCTCTTTTTCAAGATATTTATATTTTTAATAATGGCGGGAAAAGGCTGACTTGGACTTTTACCTTATATTTGCGTTGGTATTATTTTGGTCTCAAATCGAAAGAAAAGAAATAAAAAATCTGCTTAAATTTTGGTAAATGACCTTTTATGAGCTATTGAAGTCTTATATGAAAAGAAAAATGGGTGTTATGCGAAAAAATATTTTACCCTGTATCGTAGGAAAAAACCCAAGGAGTCTGAACATCTGACACAAATTCCTAAACCTGACCTAAGTTCATCCTTAATGTATATCTTTATCTCATATTTTTACATAAAAGTGGGATGATCTTCAATATATTATTCTGAGGTCAAATTAATCAGGACTTCCTCCTTGTAGAATTATATTACAGCTCAGGAGGATTTAGCTTTCTTCAACTGTCCTCCGTGGAGAGCTGTGGAAAGCCAACTCATGTCCACTCAGATTTCACATAACATTCAGTAAAAATAGTTTATGATAAATAAAGCTTTTCTTATTTTTTTTAATTTTTGTGTTATCAAGTCTTACAATTAAAAAAAGAAATGGCAAACCTACTTTTAAAAGTGGGACATCTCAAAGTATGTAAGAAATGGAAGAGTGAAATGGCAAGTCAACTTTTTAAGGCGGTACATCTCAAAGTTTTTTCTGCCATGGAAGAGTGAGATGTCAATTCCACTTTTTAAGGTGGAACATCTCAAAGTTTTGTTCGCCATGGACAGGTGAAATGTAAAAAAAGTCCACTTTTTAAGGTGGGACATCTCAAAGTTTTTTTTGCTATGGTCAAGTGAAATGGCAAGTCCACTTTTTAAGGTGGTACATCTCAAAGTTGTATCAGCCATTGATGGCTGAAATGGCAAAAAATGATGAGCTGTAGTATACATGTATTTTCATACAAATGTTTGCAAAGATATAAATGCTATGGTATATGAATATTTTACTTATATTAGAAGAAGTTTAAGCTTTATGAATGAATGTTATACTTTTTAGGAGAAGTTTAAGTTTTATGAATGAGTAAGTCTGGTTCACAGAAACGTTTTTGTTGCATGTACAACTCACATGCTTGAATATATACAACACATTTTACTATAGTTTTCAATAATTTTCCTTACAGAGATCTTCACCATCATTATAACCTAGGCTTACACAGGTTTAGACTTCTTTTACCAGATGTAAAGACACATTTTGATTTTTTATCTCCAAATTTAACCTATCTAAATCAGTCCTACTAAAAAAGAATATGAAAGTTCAGTTTTAATTTAATTTAATTTAATTTTATTCTGCATTTATGATAACTTTTAAGGGGGCCTTGGTGGCTGTGTGATTTAAGTAATTGGTCCGCTGTATCACTAGCCTGTCAACACTGAGGTTTTGAGTTCAAACCCTGCACATGGCAGATGCATTCATTTCCAATCTTAATTGACTAGAGTTCCCAGTTTTCCTGCAGAAGGGCAGTGGTTCTCTCCTGGCACTCAAGCAGCTTCCTCCACCAATCAAAACTGGCTGTTGTGATAAAGCCAATAGTACTGAAAGTGGCGTTAAACGCCAACAATTAATGAATCACTTTGAAAAAATCATAAAATAACAACTAGAACCTCAAGTTAGTTCTACTTATTTCTACCTTCACAAAAAAGTGTAGCACTTACTGACAAATTTCATTGACTACTTTTGTCTTTTGTGATAATTTAATTAGGGCCCCGCCGAAGGCGGACGCCCTATAGTGATCAGTCTGTCCGTCTGTCTGTTCGTCTTTCTGTCAGTCCGTCCGTAACAAATTGTGTCCGCTCTATATCTAGAGAACTGTTATGATTTCAAAGTTTATACTTGACATGTATATTAACCAACAACAGAGGGTGTGTCACAATGTATGTACAACTTCCTAGGTCAAAGGTCAAGGTACAAAAAATTTGGTTTCAGTTGACATCCCCATGTCTTATGGTATAGATTGTGTCCGCTCTATATCTTGAGAACTGTTATGATTTCAAAGTTAATACTTGACATGTATATAAACCAACACCAGAGAGTGTGTCATAATTTATGTACAACTTCCTAGGTCAAAGGTCAAGGTCAAAACATTTGGTTTCAGTTGACAACCCGCTGTTCTATGGTAAAGATGGTGTCCGCTCTATATCTTGAGAACTGTTATGATTTCAAAGTTTATACTTGACATGTATATAAACCAACACCAGAAAGTGTGTCATAATTTATGTACAACTTCCTAGGTCAAAGGTCAAGGTAAAAAAAATTGGTTTCAGTTGACAACCCCATGTTCTATGGTAAAGATCATGTCTGCTCTATATCTTGAGAACCGTTATGATTTCAAAGTTTATACTTGACATGTATATAAACCAACACCAGAGAGTGTGTCATAATTTATGTACAACTTCCTAGGTCAAAGGTCAAGGTAAAAAACTATGGTTTCAGTTGACAACCCCATGTCCTATGGTAAAGATACCAATTTTTTACCACACGTTATTCACAGCGGGGCCCACAGAGATGGCTCCCATCTCAATGATATCTAGTTTGGACAGTTGTCTCATTTCCAATCATACCACCACATCTCCTTATTTTTACGAGGATGAAATCGGAATGGTTGATATTCCCCAATTATAGCTAATTCTAACTCTCTTAGTTTTTCTATATCATTAAGCAAAGGGAAAGGTTAAGGCTGTTTCGAATGGTCTATCCATTTTTTGGGTTGGTTTTAAAGACATGTTTACAGAATGGTATCTTATGCAGAGGTACATATAGCTTCATATGAAATTATTTTAATTGTTGCAACTTGAGGCCTAAATTGGTCATAATCATTTGTTCTTTACAAATTTAATTTAAACATCTGTCTATTGTTGAAGACTGAATGTTGCCATCTAAATATCTTAAGGTTATATTTCCCATGGGGTTGCTGTCTCACTGAGAAAACACACAAAACAGTATGGGTAGTTGAAAAATCAAAATTATAAATTGTATTGTTATGAATAAGCCAGTAGTTTTCTCGTTTGAATTCTTTCACCTTTTTTCGTGTCGGGACTTTTATAGATGAGTATACAGTGTGGTTTTTTCTCATTGTTGAAGGCCTTACAATGACCTATAAATTATAATTGCTCAAATACATGTCATTTGAACTCTGGTGGATAGTTGTCTCATTAGCAATCATACCACATCTCCATATTTTTATATAAAGGTGATTTTATAATTTCATTTAAAAATTTTCTCAAAATTTAGATTAATGTTGAAAGTGGGGATTGCCTCTGCATAGTTTGAGCCATACCTCCTGTAAAAGAAGTTTAGATACAATCTTCAATCATAAGAATCAATTAATTTGTTAATTACTTACATCTTATTACTGATACAGTTATATTTTGTTATCAAGCTATATTTTCAGACACCATGTGAGCAGCAGACATGAAAGAATCATTTATACTTAATTTTTTTGTTGACGAAAATTTGTTAGTGTCTTGTACAAATGTTTATCATTTTTTTGCTGATTTTTAGTTGGATTGTGGGAAGTTTTCTTATATGTGTTTAATATATCCATTGTACATGGAAAATGTGAATCTATTTTGGTTTTTACAAATCCTAAGATTGTAGGAATTTGATATCTGACTTTAGTTTACTTTGACATTTCAGTGTACATATACCAATGGTATCCTTTAGAGTGTAGGTTTACATTTTTGGTTTTTACAGGTTTAGGCAAAGCACTTATTGAATATCTTTTTGTTCATTTTGACTGATTTTTTGATTTTTTTAATTTGTTTAATTTTTTTATTCTATGGAGGTGCTGGTTTTAGTTTTTTGGGGATACACATGATGATACAAGTTTATTTGCACCTGTTAAATGTTATGTAGAAATTTATTATTGTCCAAGAATAATAATTTCAGGTGTAGGACTATTTTTTAGGTGTAAGTTTACATTATTGTATGAGTGGTTTGGTTGGTGGTAGGTGTTCAGAGATTGACCTCCCTTTAAAGGAAACTTTTAGTTATGTGTGAAATGATTTAATATTTGTTTTAATCCATTTTTACCTAATTGCTAATTGATGACTTTTTAGGTCATGATGATGTATAGTGTAGCATTTTGCTGTCTTTTCATTTTCCGATTTTTACCAGCTAAATATTTTTTAACAATATTAATTTTAGATGTGATTACTTATAAGTTTTTATCTTTATTAAACATTTTATAAGAATCACCTATTTTTACTGAGCTTAATGACAATCAAATTAGCAATTGCTTCACCTATTTTCTTGGTAGTAATTTAGCCATTTACTCTTTGAAGTTTTCTAGTTATGTTTGAATTTTCTTGCTGATTTTTATAAATTGAATATTATGATAACATGCATACATACCAGATATTGTATTGACTATAAACTGGAATGTTTTAATAAAACACCTAAACCTTGTCTATAGCTGAAATGGCTGTTGTTGACATTTTAGTTGACTGGATAAGATACAGGCATTTCCATGATAGATTAAAAAACAAAAATTCTGCCTTTTTTTTCCTTTAAACATGTATGTTAGTGCATAAACTTAAGTGGACATAGTGGTTTCATCATCATCAATGGCTATAAATAGAATGACATGTTGTATTAAAGCTTCGAGGACCGCTACACAACTAAGAACATCTGCATTTTTTCAACCATTACAGGACCCACCACACTAGAAGTTTATGGCCCTAGGATTCCCCATTATAGCCCTAGGATTCCCCATTTTTGCTTTAAAGATGCATCAAAGAAAAATTTGGGTTGCTCTAGATTTTCCGAAAGATCACTTGATGTTGTCTTTTAATTTAAAAAACAAATTTTACTATCCAAATGCACATGATTCTGATTCTCAACGATGGAAATATGATACTTCTTTAATCTGTGTTTAAAATCATCCGTTAACACATATTTATGCTACACTATATTATAAATGTGCTTGTCTGTATTTGAGCGGGTTAATTTGAAAGTTCTGTGTTTTGCTAAACAACATATTTCTAACTTTTTTATTTAATTTACTACACATTTTTATTATTATGTTCAAATTTCATGATGATAAGACTTACAAAAATGGAAATTTATTTTCTTAAATTGTAAGGAACATAACATTGATTTAACTACATGAATTAAGAAATTTGTGCTTATTTATGTTTGATTTAGATTGTTAGTAAACATTGTGTAATTTGATTATGATGATTATTACAGGGGAAAGAAGAAGTTAGAGAAAGCGTTAGAGAAGGCAAAAGAAGATCTAGCTTCTCTGTCTGAAAAACTTCATAACTTACAATTAGGTGAGTCCAAAATCTTAAGAGTCAGAATTCTGTCTGAAAAACTCTATAACTTACAGCTAGTTGAGTCTGGAAGCTTTAGTGAAGTCCAGCGCTCTGTCTTTAAAACCTATCGTAAGTTGAGTCAGGAAGCTTTAGAGAAGTCCAGCGCTCTGTCTTTAAAACCTATCGTAAGTTGAGTCAGGAAGCTTTAGAGAAGTCCAGTGCTCTGTCTTAAAAACCTTTCGTAAATTGAGTCTGGAAGCTTTAGAAAAATCCAGCGCTCTGTCTTTAAAACCTATCGTAAGTTGAGTCAAGAAGCTTTAGAAAAGTCCAGTGATCTGTCTTAAAAACCTATCATAAATTGAGTCTGGAAGCTTTAGAAAAGTCCAGCGCTCTGTCTTTAAAACCTATCGTAAGTTGAGTCAAGAAGCTTTAGAAAAGTCAAGCGCTCTGTCTTTAAAACCTATCGTAAGTTGAGTCAGGAAGCTTTAGAGAAGTCCAGCGCTCTGTCTTTAAAACCTATCGTAAGTTGAGTCTGGAAGCTTTAAAGAAGTCCAGTGCTCTGTCTTTAAACCTATCGTAAGTTGAGTCAGGAAGCTATAGATGAGTCCAGTGCTCTATATTTAAAACCTATTGTAAGTTGAGTCAGGAAGCTTTAGAGAAGTCCAGCGCTCTGTCTTTAAAACCTATCGTAAGTTGAGTCAGGAAGCTTTAGAAAAGTCCAGCACTCTTTCTCTAAAACATATTGTAAGGTGAGTCAGGAAGCTTTTGAAAATGATGAAGCCTTGGAAAAAAAATGTTATTTACAGTTTAGCTTAAAAGGACTCTGATGTAAAAAGATATTGATATTTATACTTAGAAAAATCAAAAAGGACCTGGTCTCTCTGAAAACTTCATAAATTTAAAATTTAGCTTTTGAGATGGTCAGTGCTCTATCTGGAAAACATTAAAAATTAACAGTTCAGCTTTAGAAAGCTGTTTGAAAAAAAAATCTGCAAATAAGCTTTTGAGAAGGCCAAAGCTTTGTTTGGAAAACAAATAATTTACAGTGACAGAGTTCTGTCTGAAAAAGTTTGAAATTTACGGTTGAGTTAAAGTGAAGTGCAAAGCTCTGTCTAAAAAAGCTTTGTTTTTTTATTTCATTGAAACATCTGCATACTTTTGCGGATTATGCCTTTCTCCCTCTCATTTTCAAAACTATAGATAATCTATAAATATTGCACTGGACAAATTTATGTTTTATTTTCAGATTTGGAAGACAAAGAGTCCAAATACCAGGATTTATTGAAAATGTTAGAGAATAAAAATCTGGAGACACAAAAGTATAAAACTGCAGCAGAGATTGCTAAGGTAACAGAGTAGACTGGTACTAGGTAATAATGAGTTGCCAAGGTAACAGAGTAGCCTGGTATTAGGTAATAATGAGTTGCCAAGGTAACAGTGTATATGCTGGTATGAGGTGAGTTGCCAAAGTGACAGTGTATATGCTGGTATGAGGTGAGTTGCCAAGGTAACAGTGTATTGTTGGGAGAAATGTTATGTTGCCATTGTAATAATGTGATCAGGGTTGATAAAAATATTTTGCCTAGGAAGCAATTTTATCTGGAGAGAATACAATGTTACAAAAGTAACCTTAATGTCAATGGAGTTCACATTGAGAGATCTTGTAACAATATCATGTCTATTGTAACTTAATCAACATAAAATTTACATATATTTTTAAAACTGTCATGTTATATTTGAATATCTCGGAATGAAAAAATACATAAAATTCTTAAATTTTTTGCAATGTTTTTATTATTGTGAAAATTTCAACAGGATATTTTTTTTTTTCGCAAAATGAAAACTCCTATTTTAGTTGATTATACCATTATTTGTACTACTCACATCCTGAAATGGCAATGATATTATTGACAGATTACAAATCATGGTGAACTTCAGGTTAAGAGATGCTATTTTCTGGCTCTGATAGAAAATATTCTTTCATCCTATCAAATCTATAATTCTTTGGCACACAACCCAATATAGATATATTTTTTATTTTAGTCTTTGTAATTTTATGGCATCCAATTTTCATAGTGTTGTTATATATATTCAAAGCATTTCCAAGTTATTTATATAAACATTTTCACATATTGTGATGTGCTAAGTGTTATAAATATAGTTCTTTAAAAATCCAGTAAAATAAGTAATATTCTAGCATAGCATAATATTCATGCTTTCCCAGTGTAAAGTATTATTTTAAAAGCACAGCATACATATATTTCACTGACTATCCTTTATATACACATGTATATTCATGTAAAGAAAAAGTATATATTTATATAAATGTTTTAAGGCCATCATAAAAATCCCAATACCCCCTCCCCCATGTTTTTTTTCAAAGCCATTTTTCTGCTATTTTCTTTTTGCTTGAGGTTTTCATATGTTGCATTTAATTTAATAACAATGTTTAAAAAATAAGCCCAATTTTTAGCATGGTGTGTGATTTCTTGTTTAGCTTTCTGCCTGAAATTAGAATTTTCAAATTGTGTGTTTACTCTTTATCTTGTATTAATTTGCACAAATATTTCATTTATATTTACATATAATAGTATATAAGCTTTAATTCAGTAGATTTTCTTTTCAGGTTGAATTTTGTTTGAATAGAAATATATTCTGTGCTGTACTAACAAATTATGTTATATATTCTATAATGGCAAATTGTAAACAGAATAAAGTGAAATTTTAAATAGATATACGCAACAGTCAGTACACATGTAATAATTGAGTCAACTGTTTTACATTGGGGTGGTAAAGAGTTATTTTTCGTTCAAAATATTTTTTATTTTTATTTCACAGTTTTTATGCTTGAAGCTCATTTTTCTTTATGGTTCGTGCAAATTGGTTAAAAGGATCTTGAAGATATCTTTCGTTTATAGTGAAATAATTGGCCATTTTGTTTGCCATACTTTCATGCACAACCTCCCTTTACGACCCTCTTACATATTTGAATTTTTTTGAAAGGTTTCAAACTCAATTCGGATATGTCAAAATAACTTTCTGTGTCTGTCTAATGAGGCTCAATGGTGATCTTAACTTTTAATAATGATTCATAACTGAGACTGACAGTACTGTATTGTTTCACTACAATATTTCATACAGAAAAATAAAAATAAAAAATCCAGATTTGTCAAAAAAAAAAAGAATACAATTAATTTTCATTGAAACTTTTGAAAGAAAAAGTTCTGTGGTATAAAATACTGGGCCGTAATTCTGTTAGTCCTATAAGTCTGTTCATTTGACCATATGTCAATGAAATGTTCTTACTTACCAGAGGACATAGTTGACAGTTTATCATTTAACCTTTGCCATTATAATTTGACCTTTGCCATTATAGAATAAACAGACATAATATTTGAATCTTTCTCTGTAGCTGCTTTTCTTTTCATGCTTTTCTCTACTAACAGAAAAATGTGACAGAATTAGAGATTGAAAATGCTGTAATGAAAGAGGACCTAGACAAACGAAAAGATTTCATGAAAGATTTACAAAGAAAACTGAATAGAGCAGAAAACGAACTCTCCCAAAATGATATGTTGAAAGACATTCAGGCTAATCAAATATCCGATCAATATCAAGAGTCACAGGTTTGTATTGAAGTTATATCCCCTTTAATACAATAATTATTATCTCCCTTTTAATACAAAATTATTATCTCCTTTTAATACAAATTTATTTTGTCCCTTAAATACAAAATTATTAGGTCTTTTATATATTGAGTTTATTGTTTCAAATTCAATATTAATTGTCTCCCTTCCATCAAAGTTATTATCTCTCTTCCATTCTAAGTTTTGGTATCCAAGTAATTGCCTCTCTTTTGATATAAAATCATTCTCTGCCTTTTATACACATTTATAATAGTCCTATAACTCAAAATTGCTGTCACTGCCTATAATATTATTTTTCTTCCAAACAAAATAAAATAATAGTTTGAAATTGCAGTCAAACTGTACAATTTGAATTGTCTCCCTTTGAAGTGACAAAATAGTATTTTATCCATTTAATATTGCCAGTATTTAAAGCTATTTTGTAAACTTTTATTTAATGTGGATTTTTTTTCATTGTGTATCGAATCTGTTATGAAAATTAAGGTAGGTCAACTTCAAATGAATGATTATGAATAAAGGAAGACTTTTCAAATATAAAATACATGATTTGGCTAATTGCAATACAATGATATATTGTAAGTTCACATTGTAAAAATGACTGCAATCTCTACCCTTCAGTGCTCACAAGCACTTTGATTAAATTGTATGAAGGATATGATTTCATGTTAACATGTTATACATTTGTTACATTAATGCTAGTCAATGGAGGCTCTTACTGCAAAGGTAAAGTATAAATTCTCCTAACCTAGAGCTTGCCCTAAAACATTATGTAAAGTACAGATTCTCCTTACCAGAAGCTTATCTTAAGACATTAGTTAAGTACAGATTCTCCAAACTTAAAGCTTATCTTAAGACATTAGTTAAGTACAAATTCTCCTAACCTGAAGCTTATCTTAAGATATTAGTTAAGTATAAATTCTCCTAACCTAAAGCTTATCTTAAGACATTAGTTGAGTACAAATATTCCTTACCTAAAGCTTATCTTAAATGTTAGTGAAGTACACATTCTCCTAACTTAGAGGTTCTGCAATTTTATCAAGTACCCAAATATATAGATATCCATAGCTTGCCAGATAACCAAGATTTGAATGTTCGTCTAACTTGTAGCAAATCCAAGAAAATTAGGATCAATCTTGCTTTTAAAAATGCTTCCAGTTCATAAAAGCCTGTTCAATACTATCTGTAGATAGAATTGGAATATGCACGGTTTTATTCGTTTTCAGTCAACTATACAAATTTTTATGATTTATTAGTTGACGGATTACAAATAAAAACAATAAATATCTTACCTTTTATTTATAGTTAGTATTAAACAGAATTATGAAAGATCCATTTGTTAAGTGAAAAAGTTCCGAGACCATGAACATTTGAATATAATATGGAGTCTAAATTATCAGAATGTGTTTAATTATAAAGTGATTAATTTTGAAAAGTACATTTTGCTTTTGTTTTATTGTTGTGGCTCTGTTGCAGTGACTACAGTTTTAATCGTGTTTTTACTAAAAATGCTTACATGCATAGCTGAAGATTTGCTAAGATGCCATGTTTTTTATTAAGGAAATATTAAAATATGAGAAGAATATAAATAAAAACCGCCATAACAAGCTTCATATCTGATATAAACTGCATGCCTGTATTACCTCCATTTATTTATTTTGCTTCATTAGGATTCTTTAAGGTAAAGCATGGCTTATGCTGATGTCTTAAACTGAGGCTTCACTGATTAATTTTTCCGACATCAACTCTGCAACGCGTTGAAACTTTTGTCATGCTTGTAATCTCCTCTTTTATTTTTAACTTACTATGTTCATAATTACAGTGAGTCTGTAGTCACAAGTCCTACTACTTTTCTTAAGGGATTGCTTAAAAATTCAGTTTATTTTCTAATGTTGCAGAGCTGGTTGTCATGGTAACAAAGCCTCTGTCTGAGAATCAGACTTCTGCTCAGACTGTCTTGTCTGTCTATTTGTATATTACTCCACCTTTCCTTAACATTTCTGAAAGATATTGTAATTCTGTGTCATGTATATAGACGGAACAAATGTGGTATAGATGTAGATTGCACCTAGTTACCTAAGTTAGAATTTACAAATTAAGAGATGTAGATAAAAGTCACTTTGTTGTTACATGTTGTAGATCATCACAGTTTAATTTAATCTTTTTGAATGTAATGTAGATGTACAAAGAACCCCACCCTCTAAAAAAAAATAAATAAAAAAAAAATAGTATAACAAGAAAAATACAAGTTGCACTAGCACAAGTGACAAAAAGAGAGGTAAAAAAAATGAAATACTTACTGAAATGCCAGTGTAAATAGAAACGAAAGAATCCATATGTTCTTGTAGTATTAAAGAAAACTACAGCATTGCAATGGATAAAGTAAATGTATTATAACTATTATTCTGGTCTTAATGTTACACGCTGATATTGTGTAAAATTGTACGATAAACCAGCTTTTTTGTTGCTGATCCATTCACTTGTAAGGTATATTTTGTAGTGGTATAGGAAGAATGTTTCCCGGTTAGCATTCATTTATAACTAAGATGTCAAGTCTACATCAGTGAAACAGATAACAGGAAAACAATTACCTAAAAAACATGAGGTCACCATGGGGGTCTGTCCTAACACTCTAAGGATCTGAAGTAACAGGATAGAATGTTTTTAATTTGATTGTTGGTGATTTGGTTGAACCCCAAAATAAAGACAATGTCAAACCATTGGTTGAATTTCCATTGTTGAGGATGTCATTAATCAATCAAAAAAATTTATAGTAACAAGATTTGATGTTCTTGTTTTCAGAAAAAGATACAAGAACTTCAGGAGGTTGTTGACAAGAATAAATCCAAAACAGAAGAAGTTAAGAGGGGTAGGTTATTTAAATCTATAATGGATGGGTGTACTTACAAGAATAAAACGAAAACAGACGAGGCTAAGAGGGGTAGGTTATTTAAATCTCTATAATGACTTGTTGTACTTACAAAAATAAGTCTAAACCAGAAGAAGTTAAGAGGGGTAGGTTATTTAAATCTCTATAATGGATGGGTGTACTTACAAGAATAAAACCAAAACAGACGAGGTTAAGAGGGGTAGGTTATTTGAATCTCTGTAAAGGCTGGGTGTACTTACAAGAATCAATCTAAAACAGATCGAGTTAACTGAGTACTGAGTTATAATTGTTTATTTTATAGAAATAGAGAAATTCCATGAGACCCAGATTGTAGCCATAACTCAAGCTCATGCTGCTGAAGTAGACTCAATGAAGAATGAATTTGAGGAAGAATTGAAGAAAGCTAAGGTAGGTTGTCTCCCTTTACCTTACTGTATTCAGTTTTAAAGTAGATTATCTCCCTTTTTCTGTCATTTAGGTACTGTTGGAAAAGGCTGTTATGTTATGCATGTTGTAGTTATCTTCCATCTTTTGTCTGCATTAAATGTAATAGCCAGTAATGACATATTTGTTAGCATGATTTATATATTATTGGCTCTATGTAAAGTAATAGTCAAATTAGTTGTATTTGTTTGCATGACTTGTCTCCCTTTGTCAGTATGTAATTCTATATATAGGAGTAATACCACCATTGTTTTTCTCCCTTTTAGTCTTTGTTAAATTGGCACTTTTCAAAAAATTGTGCAGAATTTATCTTTGGTTCAAATAAGGAAATACTTGGCATGAGTAAAGTTTTATCATGTCCAGTACCACAGACAAAATTTCACATAACATTTCATTGATTATAAGATAATAACCATCACTGGAAGTAAACCAATCAAATTTCAACCCTTTTTTACCTGTTTACAAGCTTTAGTAACCACGTAACCTCAAGTTTCCAAAATATTTTATAGAAACACCAAATAAAAAAAGACTGGTACTTTGAAACACCCAAGATATATGTTTATGACTCAGAAATTTTTTACTGCAATGAAATGTAGGATTAATTTCATACAACTGTCAAATTCAAGGGAATATTTTTTTTCAACCCTTTTTCGTAATTTCACCTGGATGTGACATACTATGATTTGGTGGTATTACACCTATATTTACTGATGTCTAGATTACGTCCCTTTGTTTTTATGATTTAGCTATTTTCATTTGCATGTTTGATATCTAGATTTTCTTCCTTTCTCTTTTGTAAACTTCCAAACTACGAGTTTTTGTCTTCCTTAAATTTAGATTGCTCACTTTTGTAAGTGGGAGAAAGATTGCATTGTTAATAATTGTTCTAATATGTCGTTAATAGATGACAACAACACATCAGTTTCCCTTTCTATACTGTTTTGTGACAGATATATATTTTTATGTTTATCTGTATAGATCTCAAAGTCCTGTAATTATTTATAAAGTGTAAGCTGTCTATAGACAAGATGTAAATTTCATAACTGAACAAATAAGTGCTACTAGAAAGTGCTTCATTAAAACTGATTATAACAGTGAACAAAATGTAAGTTCATCACTGATTATAACAGTGAACAAAATGTAAGTTCATCACTGATTATGGCAGCAAACAAAATGTAAGTTCATCACTGATTATGGCAGCAAACAAAATGTAAGTTCATCACTGATTATGGCAGCCAACAAAATGTAAGTTCATCACTGATTATGGCAGCCAACAAAATGTAAGTTCATCACTGATTATAACAGTGAACAAAAGGTAAGTTCATCACTGATTATGGCAGCCAACAAAATGTAAGTTCGTCACTGATTATGGCAGCAAACAAATTGTAAGTTCATCACTTACTATGACAGTGAACAAATCGTAAATTCAACACTCATTATAACAGTGAACAAAATGTAAGTTCATCACTAATTATGACACTGAACAAAATGTAAGTTCATTTTTGATTATGGCAGTGAACAAAATGTAAGTTCATAACTGATTATAATAGTGAACAAAATGTAAGTTCATTACTGATAATAACAGTGAACAAAATGTAAGTTCATTACTGATTATAACTGTGAACAAAATGAAAATCATCATTGTTTATGGCAGTGAACAAAATGTAAGTTCATCACTGATTATGGCAGCAAACAAAATGTAAGTTCATCACTGATTATGACAGTGAACAAATCGTAAATTCAACACTCATTATAACAGTGAACAAAATGTAAGTTCATCTTTGATTATGACAGTGAACAAAATGTAAGTTCATTACTGATTATGACAGTGAACAAAATGTAAGTTCATTACTGATTATGACATTGAACAAAATGTAAGTTCATCACTAAAATGACTGAACAAAATGTAAGATATCACTGAATGAACATCGTGTTAGTTCATCAATGATTATGTCAATGAACGAAATGGTAAGTTCATCACTGAATATATCAGTGAACAAAATGTAGGTTCATCAATAAATATAACAGTGAACAAAATGAAAGTTTATCACTGATTATGAAAGTGCACAAAATGTAAGTTCATCAGGGAATATGGGAGTGCACAGAATGTAAAGTCATGACTAATTATATCAGTTAACAAAATGAATATGCATGTATAGCAGTGAATAAAATATGAGAGCATCCTGTGATAAGGCAGTGAACATCACTGAAAATGACATGGAACAGTTCGTCACTATCAGTGAACAAAATTAAGTTCATCACCAAATATGGGAGTTAATAAAATGTGAAGTTAATCACTTAATTCATGGAAATGAACAAACTATAAGTTCATCACCAAATATGGATCAAATTGTTAAGTTAATGGCTATTTATGGAGGTAAACAAAGTATAAGTTCACCCCTAATTTTGAAAGTTCATCACCAAATATGGAAGTGAAGAAATATTTAAGTTTCTCATTTTTGTCAGTGATCAGTATGTGGATGTTATTAGATCACTGAAAATGAGTAAACAAATTTTAATTTTCTCATTTTTGTCAGTGACTAATATGTTATTAGATCACTGAAAATGATGGTGAACAATACATAAGTTAATCACAGGTTATAATAGTCAACACAATAAGTTCATGATTTCAATATTGATGCCAAAACCAAAAAACAGTTATAAAATTACTAAAATAAAGGTCAAAAAAAGAGTTATAAATAAATTAAATGAATGTATAGATATATTGAGTTACTGGTACATAATTTGAATCTCATTATAAAATTTTCTATGAAATCAAAATAAAATATCAAAATTTCATTACCTTCAATCTGAATTTATATGCTTATACTTTATACAAATGTCTGTCAATACAAACATTGAGCCATAGTATTTGATTGAATTATTGGATGTCTTATTATTTTTCATGAATTTGACATTAATTATAAAGTAGGATATACCATTCCTTTATACTAGTTGTGGTTTTGAATTCCTTTATTTAATTTGAGTCCCTGTTTAAAACTGTTTATTTGGAATTCAAACCCAGGAGGTCTGTTTTAATCTTTAATTGATAGAAATTCTCACTAAATCTCTTGAAATGAACATCTTTATGTAAACATGCTACTTTCATTTTAAAACTGAAAGTAAACAATCTACTTTACATTTTGTTTAAGATTTGTTAAAAGTTTTAGAATTTGACACTTGTGTGTCAATACAGATTTGTTAAAGAACTTTGATAAAGTGAAACTCTTTTTGTCTTGGAATAAAGAGGGATTAACAATGATTGGCAAGGATTTCATTATGTAATCAAGATATGGAAGAGAGATATAATGATCTTTTAAATTGTCTATTTTGAAATAGTAAGATTTATCATTGACAAAGAGTTCAAATTTTTATGAAAGGAGAGAAGCGAGGTGGGTATGGGGATGGGGGTCTAATCTTGAATTCCCGAGAACATAATTGACAAATGCGAAAGTTCTGAGAAAATAATGTGTCTGTTCCTGCATTAGGATGTAATTAAATCCTGAATTCCAGACCATTTTACTGGATATTCCCAAATTCCTGTGATTTAAATGACTCAATCCTGATGTCAAGCTTCAAAAATAAACCTTATGTAGCCGAAACCTTTTAATAATTTAATGTGCAGAAAAGATCAGTGTGTTATTTCTAGATGTCGTATTGGTCATACTAGAATAACACACGAGTATCTTTTAAAAAATGAAGATGAACCACAATGTGTACCTTGCAACTGCAAGTATACTATTAAACATGTTTTAATTCATTGTATTGACTTTGCTGATATTCGGAAGAAGCATTTCAATGTCAATAATATGTATGATTTATTTAATAATGTTCCATTTACAAATATTGTTTCATGCTTAAAAGAAATTGGAATATATTATAAAATATAAAAAAATGTTGTTATATTTAAAACGATTTTAATTTTTATCACATTATCTTAGTGTTGATTTTTATTTGTAAATAATCAATTTGCTTTAGTCTAGAATTTTAGTTTATTGAAAGACCTTTTGTCTGATTTTAAAAATATACCTTAAATTGTTATAATATTCAAATTAGCTCTTGCCGCGATATAGCCTTTCTGTGCTAATGTGGCGTAAAGCAAACAACAATCAATCAATCAATCTTATGTAGCCGACTATTTGGTATGGGTTTTTCTCATTGTTGAAGGCCGTACAGTTGCCTATCCACTTCATTTGAACTTTGGTGGATAGTTGTCTCATTGGCAATCATACCAAATCTCCTTATTTTTATACTTATGGGGGATATATTATGATTCAAATATAAAGCAAAATTATTATATATATAGATATGTCAGATATTTTAATAAATATTCAATTTAACATCCACGTCATTTTGACTCTGGTGGATAGTTGTCTCCATTAAAAATCACACCACATTTTCTTATTTATATGTATAGCAAGGGATTTGCATTTATAGAATAAATGTTTAAAATTATACCCCTTTCATTTATAAGAAAGATTACAATTTAAAGAATTATAAAAAAATGTAACTTGACCCTTTCAGTCATAAATTTAATTAAAAAAATGTAAGTAAATCTAGTAACCTTTACTTGTTTGATGTGTTTCAGATCATTAAGTAATAATGAACCATATCAATTAATAAATATTCTACCAAGACTTTTTAAAAAATATATACAGAAATTACAATTGTGTCAAATTTAAAAGGCCATTCTAAAAAAATTGTTTGTTATTACAAGGAAACAAGAAATTCTTTGGTTGCTAAGTTAATTGTATGATAAACTGAGAAAATTGTACTGAAGTAACTAAACATAAAATTTGTAGTAGAATTCAAAATATTTTAGATTTGAATTTTAGAAAACCATTTTAAATTGAATTTAAGAAAAACATAATAAAGTAAAATTAATTTTTGTTTAAAAGATGAGAAAAAGTACTAACAAAATATAATTTATGATAGAATGCACAATAGTTTAATCAAAATGTACC